GCACAATCTCTACATATTATAAGTATATATATATATATATATATATGGATACCCATCGAGCTGAGCAAAATCCCCCCTTCATGTACTCATTCTTCGTACATAAAAATGAACCAGCGTCTGAATATTGCAGAGCAATCAAATATTGACTAACGACCTAAAATGTCATTCATTGATTAATGTGATGTACAAACTGCAAAGGTAGCAGTGTTATTTTTAACTAGCATTGCTAGCAAATAGGCTTCTAACAAAAAAGATAATTTTCTATATAGTTATGCTTTAATACCTGAATTTAAAAAAGGTTAATTCATCAAGATGGATGTTGCCTTCATTTAACCGTAAGTAAAATTGGGGTGTGGCATTATTATGGCTATTAAGGCAACGCCCTTAAGCACCCCTCAGATTTTCCGCTGGATCCGCCTCTGGGTAATGGGCGTGATGCCAGTGATGCCTTTGTTCTATGTTAATTTTGCTTTAGAAATTTGATCTACCCCTACCTAGCGCTTTTAATCCATTTCTAGAAGAAATATGTAGACCATGTTTTGACAAATATTACCCCCAATACCCCCGCTGCTGTCTGCAATCCTAACATCTCCACTTCGCCGGGAAGAATCTTTGCCTTCCAAGGCTTGCTGCAGCGCTCTGGGTTTTTGTTCTTGTTAATCTTATAGTGAAGCAACTGCTCGTGCGCAAAGTCGACACCCGATCCACCTTTTTGATCGTGCTCAAAATTCACTGAACATGTCATATACAGTCTACATACGACTACACGTAAGGATTCGTTTTGTCAAAAAATCTATGGTTTCCAGCTAAATCATTTTCAAATTGCTTTTGACTTCACTGTTGGAAATGCAAAGATTTGCGACGGTGGATTGTTTTGCTGACTGTCAACGGAGGTGCCGAGTTAATATAAAGTTATTTTGACGACAAATTCACTGGGCAGAATCGGGTATTTTGTTGTTGTTGCCCCTAACTACAGTTTTTGGGTCGTCCAGTATTTCCTCCTTGAAGTCGTGGAAAACGTTGTTTTAAAAAAATGATTCATGTTCGTTCATGTTCCAACAAAAGGTCTATCACTTGGTTAAAATAACTATATAGAGTTTTAAAGTTGTTAAGGCTGTGCTGTGTAGCCCAAACTGGCCTCGACAACTTGTAAGAACAGTGATTTTTGCGCTCTATGTCAGTCAACTTAATTTGGGTTATTTTCAATTGAGCTTTTTCTGGAAATGTGTAGCTCAGCACTTGAGCTTTAAGTAACCAATACTTCAAAAAACTTCTTGTCAAAGATTTGAGCTTCAAAAAACGCGAAAAGGAGGATGTTGCGTGTTTTGTCAACCTAGTAAACTTTAGGCCAGTCAGTAAATGAGGATAGCCACGAGGTAAGATAGATTAGCTCATGGGCGTAGATTATCATTACAGTTTTATGTTGGGCGAGGTATTAAAAGGAAATAGAGGTCTAATTGCAGTAAAGAGTAACTTAGGCTGGTTATTGTCTGATCAAGCTCAAATCTTTAACTAACTTACAACAGTAACTAATTTAAAAATTGAACAATGTGATTATAACTTTTTTTCAAAAGTGGAAAAACTACTTTATTCTTTTAATCAGGTTTTTTCAAACAGAAGGTCAGGGGCCTGAACAAAACACCGGATCTAAGTTCAGATCTCGTATTCTTCCTCAATGGAAAACAGAAAAGGGTTCAAGCAAGCGAGTGTTGGAGATAGCGGGCAGTCAAAAGTATTCTCTAAACATAGTGCTTTAAAGGTTGCAAAGAGGATTATCCTAATCCAATTTAATCATTGATTCGCTTTTATGTTGACGATTTGAATACAGGCTACGAAACAATTTGAAAAAAGGATAGAAATTTACGTAGGCAAATTGCGAATACCGGAGGGTTCAACTGTTAAAAAAGCATTCAAATTCTAAAGAACCTATGAGCAAATGGAAAGCAAGAATCTATACTCTATTCGCTTATTTTTTGAAAATGCTTAGCGATGGTTGGGATACACCAAATGAAGAGATTGATTTTGATTTGACTAAGGTGAAGAATTATACTTTCGTCCTGCCATTTACTGCGAGATCGCTTCGTAAACTCTCCGCTAAGATATTTAATACTTTAGGGGCTTTCAGTCCATTTACTATGAAAATGAAGTGTCTTTTTAGGGAAGTAACTGTTAACTTGCAGGAATTTCGAACACGATAATCCCAGCTTATCATCAAACCTAAATTCCTCTCCATCAGTGTCTTTTCCATATTATTATTAGGAAGGATAAGAAAATAAACGACGTTCAACTGCACGGATTCTCTGATGCCAGCGAATAAGCATATGCATCTGTTATTCATATGTGTCGAATAAAGAACTTCAAAGATTTTAAACAACTTGTTCAATTCCAAGTTGAAGTTATTTTGAAGTTTTTGGAACCAAGTAAATGGGAATTTTACCCAAGAAGTAAAAATCCAGTTGATATTTCTTCTAGAGGCAGCCAGGTGAGCAACCTACCAAACAATCGTATGTGGTGTCATTGACCAATTTTTATTCCATTCCTCGGCAACCTGGCCTAAGACGATCAGCGTTTCGATAGAAGATCAACATAACGAAGAGGTTACTTAAAAAACTATTAAGTACCCCTAAATTGTTGTCTCATTTGCTTTTGTTAACATGGTTGATAATCAAGGAATTATTCCAGATCTCATCGATATCAGTAAATTCAGTCCTGTTAACAACGGCTCTAAGAATTGTTGTTGGGTTCAAGCTATACTTCAGAACTAATGAATTCTAAAAGGTTGTGAGGCAATTAAGAAACGTATTAATCTAAAAATTATATCTGCCTGTTTACTTGCATGTCCACTAGAGCAGTTCGTTTAGAAGTGGTGCAGAATTTGACCGTTTCGTCGATTTGTAGCTCAGTGAGGATTACCAAGGAATCTTTACTCTGACAACACACAAACCTTTATATCTGCTGCAAAAGTGGTTCGAGGCATTAAATTATCTAATGATATCAGATCATTTCTTCTTAAACATGGAATTTTCTCGCATTTTATCTCGTTAGCAATATGGCAAGGAGGTTTGTGAGAGCGGTTTAAACAATCAGTAAAACACCGTTAAAAAAGGTATTTAGTAGGTCTGTATGGCATCTTGGAGAATTATTTACACCTCTGCAAATCCGCACAGTCATCAGTCCTCTGCAGTTTGTTGTGATTGCTCTCTTGCCTCCAAGTATCGTGTTCCAGCAATGGCGGCGCCAGCCACTAAGCTCTGGGGGGGACAAACCAAACAAATTTAAGCCACGCCCTTTTAACCATCAGAAAACGCCCTTTTACCAACAGGGAACGCCAATTTTATCCGAAGGGAACGTCTATGACAAACTTTTGTTTGAAAATTGACAGTTTGAAAATCATAGGAATACATCACAAAAAGTACGGTGTCAAAATATTACCTCTCCCCCAACATTTTCTCGTCGAACTTAGACGAAATACAAAATCGATTCTGCTTAGAAATGGGGGGGAGGTCCCCCCAGTGGTGTCCCCCCAGTCCCCCCCGTGGTGCCGCTACTGTGTTCCAGGCATGTCTTCTTTGCCTTCATTCCTTGTTGGGTTGCTGTCAATTTCCTCGAAGCTGTCAACAACAAGAGCGCAAGTAGCACCACTAGACAGCAAGTGAACTCTCCTTCTTCTTTGCTTCACTACAGTCTTCAATTATCAATCTTGTCTCTGCCAATTTCCACCTGCTTCTGGATTCCATCAACAATCTTCTCACAAATGCGAAATGTATGTTTCGGACCATTTTGAATGTCTGTTATCAAATCTGAAATACTTCATGCAAAAGACTCACGCCCGACGAGCGGCACAATTAACTTCGACGTTTGAAACGAGAGCCGCACCAAACAAGTTCAGGTGCTCCACTAAACTGATTTTAGTTGGGGACATGAGAAGTTCCACGTTTGGAACGAGCCTAAAACTAACGGACGCGCTGCAAACGCGGTTGACGCACATCAATCTTAATTTGCTACATCTTATCGATAAACCTTCAGTACCTCAATGAAGACCTATTACAGCAATTATCAGGAAAATCAACAGAAAGTTCAATAACATTACACAATCAGTTTTTTTTCATTAAGACTTTGATGGTACTACGTAGCACAACCGGAGGAGTTTGTTAGATGGGCTTGTCCTAGACTTTTTTTACGAACTTTGATGCCTCAGAGCAGTACATATAGCATACCATGCTAACAATAATTACTACATGATATAAACGAACCAATAGAAATTCACGTTAAATCACAAACAATAATTAAACAAACAGCAAATTCAAAAACACAACAAACTGACGTAATATAATATGAAAATAAATCTCTAAGCAAGGGCGAGCGCATTTCTCGACAGTATGCAAGTTGAGCAACAGATAGGAATGAAATGGACACCGAAAAATCTCCTTAAGGTCTTTTTAGAATATTCTTGCAAGAAAGAACTGCAAAAAATGTAGCCCCAGCTTGCTAGGGTAGCTTTATTACGTTCAAGACGTTGTTGTAAGTTTCCTTTTCACATAGCCCGGAAAACACGGCGGTCGTTTGGTCAATGACCGCAAGGAAGGCCAATAGAAAACACATTAAAGTGCCATTCTCGAACCCTGCCTTATTTTTCTTGGGAAGGTTTCTAAGGCTTATAGAAATTGTCCCGAGGGAGACCTAACAAACTACCCAGGCTTGAATCCACGGGGCGTCCACCATAAGTCAGAGAGAGTTTATTCTTTCTAACAATGGAAAAATGAGGTGATAAGATTATTCTTTGAAAAAATTCTTCATCAGATTACAAGCAAGAATAAAAAAGAGTATGATTTTTCTTGTTGAATAATCTGTCGGGTAACACGGCCACGTGACCCGGCCTTTGAGAATACCTCTTTTATATATACACTCTGGTGTCCCTGTCTGGTATCCATGTCTGGTATCCATGTTTTGTCATGAAAACATTCATGTAAGTAATGCATTGTTACCCATACATGTCAGACATGGCGGACATGGCGGAAAGTAAATCATCTTCAGAAGCCTACTTGCGACTTTCGACGTCATTTCAAGAAGCTCACACCAGGGTCCTAGTAGATCGAATAAAGATTCCTGATAACAGCAATGTGTTAGAAATTGGATGTGGAACCGGGGCAACTGCAGCATATCTGGCCCGAGATGTGGTCAGGAATGGAACAGTGACTGGCTGTGATCCTGAAGAGAACAGAATCCGCGTAGCCGCTGAGAAGTACTCTGACATAGAAGGACTTGAGTTTATAAAATGCACTGGAGTTGAAGCTTTGAAGAGTAGGGAGCAGGCCTACGATGTTATATACAGCAATTATGTACTACACTGGATGTCTGGTGAGGAATTTGAGGAGACGATGAGGTTAAGTTTTGTTGCAACGAAAACAGGTGGATTGGCAGCCCATAATGTTGCCGAAGAACTCCCTGACAATCTTATTAGGTTGGTCAAGCACGCAAAAGCCGAAAATTTAAAAAGGCTTTATGAAATGGTAAAGCCAATCAGCCTTGAAAGGCTTATTGATGTATCAGTAAAAGTGGGCTTTAAGGTTGTAGACTCAGGTCGGATACCAACAGTAACAAAATTTGATGATTTGAAAGAGTATCTACGTTTGCTGGATGCATCGCTGTACGGTAAATTTGGTGTTGAAGAAGGGTACATGAAAAACAGCCACAGTATTGAGTTGCCAAAGGATGAAGATGGCAAAATAATTTATGTTGTTCGTCAAGCTTTTGTTGTTTTAGAAAAACTGTGATAGGTCAACACTAGGCTTTCAGCCAGTTAAGTAAAGAAAAGCACCTTACCAAGTTACTGAATGAGTACAAAATGTTTCATTTGCTTTTATTTTTTTGTTTACCTTTATATAAATTAAAGCATCACTTTTCATATCGTGGGCACAGCTACGTATTTCAGATTGTGATTTCTCGACTGAACAGCTTGATTAACTGATTACTCATGGAATAAAAAGCGTCAGGACTGAATCTGTGTACATCAAATTGTTCTTCAGTAATAAGCGAAGTTTTTTTGTCACAAAAAGTCTATGATCGGAGACACTGAAAAATATTTTGACCCTACTAGATGATCGTAGTATGTATAATTTGTGTTGTATTTAATTACTATTGAATTTGTTGTTTTTAGTTGTATTGTTGTCAGCTTTTGTATGAAGTGGAATTTTAAATATGAAAACTTGAACTCGAACTTGATCTTCAATTTTTGTTGTTGACTTCTCTATTGGAAATGCAAAGATTTGCTATGGTGGTATGTTTTGTCAACTTTGGAGGAAAGTGCGGAGTTAATTTTGAATGCCTTCATGGGTAAGGCACTTAAGTAATCGGGATTTCTTTTTTGTTGCTTTTAACGTAGTGTATAGTTTTTTAACATAGTGTATAGGTTTATTGAGCCGTCCGTTATTTTCCCTTGGTGTCATGGAAGACGATGTCTAAAATTTATGTTTTTGTATCAGCCTAAAGGCCCATCATTTTAGTAACTCGGCCATATAGAGTTTCAGAGTTGCTAATGCTGTGTTGTGTAGCCCAAACTGGCCTAAAAAACATCGAAGAGCTGTGCTTTTTGCATTCTATTCTATGCCTATCAACTCAATTTGGATTTTTTTCGATTCTGCTTTGTTCGGCAATGTTTAGCTCAGTATGGGGGCTGATGCTTCAAAAAAAACTTGCGAAAAGGATGTTTCGTGTTTTGCTGATCTAGCAAACCTTAGACATTCAGCCAGTAAATGAGGATAGCTTTAGTCATCGGATTGGAAAGATTGCCTCGTTAGCCTAGATTATTATTACAGTTTTGTGCCGGGCGAGATATTAAGAGGAGATAGATGACCAATGGCAGAAGAGAGCAACTTTAATTGTCATTTAATTGTAGCTATTCGCAGAGGTTGCCTAATTATTGCCATACATGTTAATAATTTGCAGAACAGTTTCCAATAATTCATTATCAATTTCTGAACGGCACAATAACATGGCGTACAAATTGCCGTGATTTAGGGCGAATTTATCAACGCTAACTTTGTTTCTACGATTAACCCACTTCTATCGATGCCTATTCTTATGCATTTCCTCCTTCCTTTACAACTAGAAAAGCGATTACTGCTTCTGCACATTGCAGCCTTCATCCTAGCAAGATGAAAAAAGAGAACTAAGATAGTCTAACTAAAACCCCTCGATTTACCTCACTTTTTGCATCTCGATTCTCGGTGTAACAGGTTTTGTTTTCCGAAACAAGACCATCTTTTTTTACACGCGCCTTGACGAGGCGAATGAGCTGTTGCTTTTACATTTCTATCATGTTTTAGTCGTTTTCTAATTACCTTTCCTTCACCAACTTTCGTGTTTTGTATGCCCTTTTTAGAGGCGAAGTATTCGATTTTTGCACTACTGTTCAAACTCTCAAACAATGGATTCTATCGACATGCTTACCAGAGAACAATCAAACTCGATGCCAAAAATTGATAAAGATTCGATTACTCCATCACTTCGCCTCCGAAAAGGACATACCAAACCATACAAAACACGATTGTCTGGGTAGCTAGACTTTATCATTGAACAATGTGATTATAACCTTTCCTGATAAGAGGAAGAGCTGCCAGAGCAACGGCCTCGCTCTGCGTCTCAGTCATAATCCTTCTGTTGTGCAATATCGTTTCGCATTGTCATTTGGCATGTTAAGTTTCTTTTATATTGACGATTTGAATACCGGCTACGAAACAATTGAAAAGGGTTTTGAAATTTACGTAGGCAAATGGCCAAAACGGGAGGGCTCAATCACAGATTAGGTTCAAATTGACGATGATCGCATTTTTCGCCAATTTTTTTGGAAAGTGCTAGGCGTTGGTTGGGGGTACACAAAGTGTTTCGATAGAAGATCAACGTAACGAAGAGGTTACTTAAAAAATTATTAAGTACCCCTTAATTGTTGTCTCATTTGCTTTTATTAACATGGTTGATAATCAAGGAATTATTCCAGACTTCATAAATATCAGTAAATTCAGTCCTATTAACAACGTTTTTGAGTTTTTGTTTGGTTCTAAGATTTATTAACAACTGCAGAAATAAGGGCGAGGATAGAAGATCAGAAAATGCAAGACCAAAGAGAACTCATAATCAGGTCCTACAAAGAGAACAATTTGAAAACGAGACTCGATATTTTTCAGTGTAAATATAGCTAAGGAAAAAACCTTTTACTAGTTTCCCAATTCATCTTAATTTTTGATGGCGAAGGTATCGTTAGGAACAAAACACGTGTCAACAATGCATCAGTATCCATAGAAGCAGAACAGCCTACGTTGCTACAGTCAGAGTCTTTGTTTTCAGAACTTATCATTAGAAAGAATCATAACTTAGTCTTTCATAACCTGGTCCGTGGTACACTTAATGCTATTCTTCAGAACTAATGAATTCTAAAAGGTTGTGAGGCAATCCAGAAACGTATTAATCTGAAAATTATATCTGCCTGTTTTCTTGCATGTTCATTAGAGCAGTTCGTTTAGAAATGGTGCAGAATTTGATTGTTTATTTCGAGGGGCAAATCACTCCAAGAAAATCTCGTACACCTTTTATGAAAATCCTATTGTTTTATCTGAAAATCCCCAGAATTCCTTTTGTTTTAGGTAAAATCTCGTACGCTATTTGCAAGAGTGAATTGCCCCTCGGTTTTTTTCTTACTATTTGCATTTCGTCGATTTGTAGCTCAGTGAGGATTACCAAGGAATCTTTACTCTGACAACACACAAACCTTCTAATCTCCTGCAAAAGTGCTTTGAGGCATTAAATTATCTAATGATATCAGATCATTTCTTTTTAAACTTTGAATTTTCTCGCATTTTATCTCGTTAACAATGTGGCAAGGAGGTTTGTGAAAGCGGTCTAAACAATCCGTAGAACACTGTTAAAAAGGTCTTTCGTAAGTCTGTATGGCATCTTGAAGAACTATCTACACTTCTCGTCGAGGTTGAAGGTTTAAATAATGCCTCAGAACGGTAGTGAAGTCAAGAAAGATTGCAGCTTAAAACGTAAACAAAGCTCTTCTGTAATCGAAGCTGTTCGGAAATTACCTTGCTAGTAGTAAGGCATGTGTAAGAGCATGAAGGTGAAGGTGATTTTGGTTAAAATTTTGGACCCATAATTCCGCAAATATCTTAAAAATATGACCCATAATTCCGCAAACATAATGAAACCTATACCCATAATTCCACAAAGCGAAAAGAATTCTAAAAGCATATTGAAAATCATAAAAAAGATTTTGCATGTCCTTTCCCCCATTTCCCAATATTACACATATTTTGTACCTTCATTTCAAACTGGACATTCATTTTGTTAATGCTAAATCTCCCTCCTAATAATTTTGCAATATTTTCCCAAAATGGTGCCCATAATTCTGCATGTTTTTTTCAAATGGTACCTATAGTTCCAGACATATTTCAAAAACTGATACCGATAATTCCGCACTTCTCAGAAAAAAGGTGCCCCTAAATAATGGCACGTCCCCGTTCCTTTAAACATGTTAAGGTATCCTCCCCGAGGGCACATCAACTGTCAAATGCGCTTTTGTGCCAACTACGCGTTCTTTCGCATGTCATCCACATCAGCTGCTGCCTTCAAATGAGTCAGACAGCGACAGGGAAGTTAAGGGCATCCTTTTAGGGTTTATCTAGCTATCTCTTCTTGCTCCCTAAAATGGTTGCAATAGAACTGTTTATATTTTTCCTGCAAACTTTGCGCAATTTCTTTATGTTGAAAAGATTATCCTAAAAACCCCTGCCACTTGATCATAAAAAATTGATTATCAAATAAAGTATTGAATTTATTTTGATGCGGTGAATTTTTGAAGGTGATCTCTGTTACTTAATATCAGTTCCAGAACAACTGGAACTCCTGGATGTTCAGCCAAAAACAATACATAACAAGCAGTTTTTTACATTAGTCGATTGAAAATACTTTTTGTGTATAAGGAAGTAAGTTGTCATATTAAAAAAAATTCATGTTTCTCATATGCGGGTATATACAGTGTGTTCTTAGATGTGCCAAACGTTTAAATTGCACACCAATTTTATCAATAGCGATATTATAAAAAACTTCTGTTTGCGAAGCCTGTTATTTGACAATAATGCCATACTTTTCAGATAAGGGAGGGCAGTATAAAAAAATCAGGCAAAAGGTACACGGAGCAGCCAAATAAATTGCCTTCGTCTTCATCTCTGACTAAACGACTTCAAATTCAAGGGCGTCGCAAAAGGTGGGTACAGGGGGTGTGGTAGCCCCAACACTTCGTTCGTCGGCACATTGCTGGGCAAAAGATGGAATTTTATACTCACTCTGAGCCTTTTTGCAACAATAGTAACATGTTAAAACATCGGTGTAGTTGAGCTTCTAAAGTATCTGGACAAATTCACTTGAGGTACGTATTTTTGCAGTAAATCTTTTTTGTAAGTCTTTCATCTTAATGATCGAATTATGACAGAAAGTAGAACTAGTTTTGCCATTTTCAACGTTGCCATAGTCCAAGCTAGAATTTGTCTTAATTTTGAGAATAAGAATAAAGCGATGCTTTCAAATTGAACTCCCGCACCAGCAGCTCAACGTACATTTGACAAAACCTATTGCTGTGCCCTAAAAACGATAATTTGCCTCTTAACGCAGTGCCTTTTACAATCTTGTTGCCACTGCTTCCTACCTACTGCCATTCCGACGTGTCTTTGTAATTTGTAAATTTTATCTCAAGTATATTTTTTGGCGGCCTAAACTTCAGTAGTGCTTTTCCTCGACGGCTAGGGGTGCTTCTTTTGAGAAAGTTGTGAACAAACCAGGCGAAATTGGCAAGCTCTGATTAGCTAAAGGAAAATTATAAACAAAGCATCTAATCGGACGGTAAACGAAATCCCGCCATCCTACTTTGGTATTTTTTTAGCTAATCGGCCGTGACGGAACGTACAGCAGTAGCTTCGCGAACAGAATTCGGAAGGTGTTTTGTTTCATTCGAACATTTACGTCAAACATGGCAAATATGGGGGAAAGTAAATCATCTTCAGAAACCTACTCACGACTTTCGACGTCATTTCAAGAAGCTCACGCCAAGGTCCTAGTAGATCGAGTAACGATTCCTGATAACAGCAATGTGTTAGAAATTGGATGTGGAACTGGGGCAACTGCAGCATATCTGGCCCGAGATGTGGTCAGGAATGGAACAGTGACTGGCTGTGATCCTGAAGAGAACAGAATCCGCGTAGCCGTTGAGAAGTACTCTGACATAGAAAGACTGGAGTTTATAAAAAGCACTAGAGTTGAAGCTTTGAAGGGTAGAGAGCAAGCCTACGATGTTATATTTACCAACTATGTACTCCATTGGATGAATGAGGAGGAATTTGAGGAGACAATGAGGCTAAGCTTTGTTGCAATGAAATCGGGGGCATTTGCAGCACATAGTGTGTGCGAAGAAATCCCTGAAAACTTTGTTAAGTTGATCAAGCATGCTAATGACGACAATTTAAAGAGCCTTTATGAAATGATGAAACCAATCAGCCTTGAAAGGCTTGTGGATGTATCAGCAAAAGTGGGCTTTAAGGTTGTAGACTCAGGTCGGATACCGGCAGTTACAAAATTGTATGAGATACAACATAATTATTTTCATATCCTAAAAGCAGGCCGATTCGTTATATCCCAAAATTGTATCTGTGCGAAAAGCTTACTTATCACAGATCGAGATTTATGGTGCAAAGGTATCCAAAACTTTGCATCTTGGGGAAGAGACTATTTCGTAACCTACAGTAAACACGAGTATGAATAGGCGATTATCAGAAGTGATTAGAAGTAGATCTGAAAGGAAAGACACTCCTGTTGTGATAGATGGTGAGACATAACCTGAAAGGTCTATGTAAAAAGTGCAAAACGTTTACTTCTCCTTTTTGACCCAATGAAGTTTGCAGTTGGGTGATTAGATTTAAACAATTAGCTACCTGTCTTTTTCCAGAGCTGATGGTGGAAAAGTTTTGAACCCATAAATAGCATAGAAACAATTAAGGAAACTCAGTATGGCTTGATATGTTAGTTAACTTGAAGAAAGGAAAAACTGAGTCACTTCTTTTTGGACCACCACAGAGGATTGCCAAGCAAAATGAGACACTGAATGTTATTCGTAATTCAAAAACGCGTAAATTCGTTAAAACGTAATTCGCAAAACTCGTATCAAAAGATGATGCAAAATTATCTACTGAATTTTGACCAGCACAGACCTCAATACCGTTCAGTCCACGGTCAGGTCATACTGAAGTCAGTATTTTTAATTAAATGCCAGATGTCTAACCATTAGCATATTAAGATACTTAAAAACACATGGAGAGATTTAATGGGGTCCACATGGACTAGGGTACCAAATGTATTGCACTACCGCGAAGGAGGAGAAATGGCGCATGAATGATAGAAAGCTATTGTTATGCAAAATTTTTTAAAAAAAATAACAGTAACAAATGTTTTTTAACAGTTTGTGTTGAGTAACCGCAAACTTCAGAAACCGCGCTCAGCTTCTTAAAATTGATAAATATAATCGGGCAATGTAATCTTGAGGAATTTCGTGCCAAGCCCGAACAACTCTTTCAATTCATGTTTCTCTAATTATTGGAGGACCATTTGGATCATTATTTTTAATGTTTTTTATGCGAAGTTTTGCGATGATGTTCAAAATCAGACTTGATGCTGGCCATGGCAAGACTTGAATTCCTATTGTTTTGCAATAAATCTTGGTAAAAACTGACCTATGTGGTGGTGCATTATCTTGCTGAAAGATGAATGGCCTTTCAGCTTCAACACTTTGAAAGAGGTTATCTTGAAGCAAGGATAAAAATTTTTGAGGTTCAAGTCGTTGGTCACAAATGACTAGTTTCCCAACATCCTTAGACCCAATGCAGCCCTAGAACTGGCTGGTAAAACATTTGGTTGTGCTGTGCACCTTTTCCGTTGAACGCCAGACTCTTAACGTTTTACAGTCGTTTTTAAGACTAAACTTGCATTCATGGGAGTAAACGAGACCCTCCCATCCCTTCACAGTTCAATCTTTGAGAGCTTGATACCAGCTGATACGTGCCTTCTTGTTTGGTAATGAAACGAATGGATTTGTTTCGAAGGATTCTTAGCTGCCAAACGTCAAGGTTCATGTCCTTTAGCGTCGCAAAACGTAACCGCAGTGCAGTGCAACAAACAATTCTTTCCCCTCTATCATCAACTTTCTATGGCCGTCCACTTCGTGGTTTCTTTGTCACTGAACGCTTCATAAAGAAACGAAAAATTCTTACAGCTGTTGTGTGGCTGCACCCAACTTGCTCAGCAATTTTACGAGAGGAAAGTCCACTTTTCCTCAAATATTTAATTGCGACTTACTTCTCATTTGGTAACCCTTCTTCTTTGGACATGGTCTAAACTTTAACAAATAAAATTATTTCTGCTTAGTTTATACATTTCTAACTATGTTTTCTATGGCGTCAGCAAGATTTTCAAGAATTTCCCGCCAAAATTTGCTAGAAGGTACGCCTAGTTCACCCAATTCATGCATCCAAATGTTTGTTATTGTTGAAAAGTCAGCCAAAATTGCCGCCATTTTGCACAAGGGGATGCAATACTTTTGATATCCTAGTGAAGAAGATACGTCATACGATGATTCTGAAAATCAGTCGATTCATTTTATGACGTCACACTCGAGAACTCCATGTTAACGTTATGTTCAGTCTGGAAATATTATTTCTTGTAATACTGAAAATTAAATGGTTATGCTTGTGAGGTAATAGGTAATGTTCTAGTTTACGAAGGAAAAAAACTGAATTAAAGTAAAGAAAACATTAATTGCTACTTTGATTTAATTCAAAGCATAGTTGTGTATATATTTTTACATAATTGGCTGAAGCTTAGTGTTTGATTATCACAATTTCTGTAAAACAATAAACACTAAAGGACTAACATGAATTATTTTGCCATCTTCATCCTTTGCCAAATCAATCTTGTGACTGTTTATCATGTAACCTTCTTCAATACCATATTTACCGTACAGCGTTGCATCCTGTAAACGTAGATACTCTTTCAAATCATCAAATTTTGTCACTGTTGGTATCCGACCTGAGTCTACAACCTTGAAGCCCACTTTTGCTGATACATCCACAAGCCTTCCAAGGCTGATTGGCTTTATCATTTCATAAAGGCTTTTTAAATCTTCGGGATTCGAATTCGCAATCACTTTGACCACATTTTCGGGGATCGCTTCAACAACATTATGGGCTGCAAATCCCCCAGATTTCATTGCAACAAAGCTTAGCCTCATTGTCTCCTCAAATTCCTCATCAGACATCCAGTGCAGTACAGAATTGCTGTATATAACATCGTAGGCCTGTTCTTTACCCTTCAAAGCTTCAACTCCAGTGCTTTTTATAAACTCCAGTCCTTCTATGCCAGAATACTTCTCAGCGGCTACGCGGATTCTGTTCTCTTGAGGATCGCAGCCAGTTACAGTTCCGTTCCTGACCACATCTCGGGCCAAATATGCTGCAGTTGCCCCAGTTCCACATCCAATTTCTAACACACTACTGCTATCATCAGAAAACTTAATTCGATCTACTAGGACCTTGGCATAAGCTTCCTGCATCGACGTTGACAGTCGCGAGTAAGTTTCTGAAGATGATTTGATTTCCGCCATATTGGCTATCTTAGGCTGGATTGAACCTATGAATATTCAATTACACGATTGACACAGAAATGTCTTGCAACATTTGTTTTTGTTCCTTTAACCTAGGATTGTGGTTTATCTTGTGGTATTTAAGGAACGGGCGTTGGAGCGTCGAAGAACCGTTGAAAAAATACTTCTTGGTAATTTAGCAGGGGGAGCCTTTAAAGGGAGTTTTACTGATGGGAATTTAATGGAAAATGAGAGCGATTATGACGAGGGGCAAACCACACGAAAAAATCTCGAACTCTTTTCTACTTTCTTGCGAATTCGCTGCGAAATCAAAAATCAAAACTGCGCATGCCTTGATGCCTTCATCAGCGATTTCGCCGCGAATTCGATGCGAAATTCGCCTCGTGGAAATCAGCTTCAAGGCGAACGCGATTTTTTCGAGTGATTTACCTACCCCTCATAAGGCCATAAACCTTGACGTTTGGCAGCTAAGAATCCTTCGAAACAAATCCATTCGTTTCATTACCAAACAAGAAGGCACGTATCAGCTGGTCTCAAGCTCTCCAAGTTTGAACTGTGAGGGGATGGGAGGGTCTCGTTTACTCCCATGAATGCAAGTTTGGGCTTAAAAACGACTGTAAAACGTTAAGAGTCTGGCGTTCAACGGAAAAGGTGCACAGCACAACCAAATGTTTTACCAGCCAGTTCTAGGGCTGCATTGGGTCTAAGGATGTTGGGAAACTAGTCATTTGTGACCAACGACTTGAACCTCAAAAATGTTTATCCTTGCTTCAAGATAACCTCTTTCAAAGTGTTGAAGCTGAAAGGCCATTCATCTTTCAGCAAGATAATGCACGACCACATAGGTCAGTTTTTACCAAGATTTATTGCAAAACAATAGGAATTCAAGTCTTGCCATGGCCAGCATCAAGTCCGATTTTGAATATCATCGCAAAACTTCGCATAAAAAACATTAAAAATAATGATCCAAATGGTCCTCCAGTCACTAGAGAAACATGAATTGAAAGAGTTGTTCGGGCTTGGCACGAAATTCCTCAAGATTACATTGCCCGATTATATTTATCATTTTTAAGAAGGCTGAGAGTGGTTTCTGAAGTTTGCGGTTACTCAACACAGTATTGAAAGCTGAAACTGTTAAAAAACATTTGTTACTGTTATTTTTTTTAAAAAATTTTGCATCACAATAGCTTTCGATCATTCATGCGCCATTTCTCCTCCTTCGCGGTTGTGCAATACATTTGGTACCCTTGTCCATGTGGACCCCATAAAATCTCTCAATTTGTTTTTAAGTATCTTAATAGGCTAATGGTTAGACATCTAGCATTTAATTAAAAATACTGACTTCAGTATGACCTGACCGTGGACTGAACGGCATTGAGGTCTGTGCTGGTCAAAATTCAGTAGATAATTTTGCATGATCTTTTGATACGAGTTTTGCGAATTACGTTTTAACGAATTTACGCGCTTTTGGAATTACGAATAACATTCAGTGTCTCATTTTGCTTGGCAATCCTCTGTGGTGGTCCAAAAACAAGTGACTTAGTTTTCCCTTTCTTCAGGTTAACTATCAGTGGATTTGCTCCAACGATAGTGGATTTGCCAGCTACCTATATCGCTGTATCTTCAGCATACTGCACAATTTTTGGAATTTCTTGCATTATGTAAATAAGGGCTTTTTTAGGGCCCCAGTAGAGAGAAAATACTTCCTTGTGGAAATTCTCCAGCCACAGGATCACAATTTGGGATCGGAGACAAAGAGGTAACTTACTTTTCCAAGGCAAGTATCAACAATAGGTTCGAATTCAAAGATCCACCGTTTCCAATTCCAAGAAAAGTGGACTGAATTTAAGTTCTACTAAATAGATCTGCTCTAACCTATAATCGCTCTAACTCGCATTAAGATACACAAGAGAGTAATACTGAAAAACTAAACCCTATTAGAGTAAATCAAAACAATGTCGCCTGGATATAGATTATTGTCCGTTCTTGGGTTTTGTCTGTGTCTTTGATGTCCGATAGTTTCAAGAACATTTTTCCTTTGGCTCTGGCTGTCCTCACTGTACCTTTCTGAAGGACCGTTGGCTTTTCAAAATTTTGCATCATATGCACATGTGCAGTTAAAGTCAATGTCGCTATTATACTACATTCTGTGATAGGAACATGAATGGCAATAATTACTAATGGGAATTGGCCTGGATCGAACCAAAAGACAAATGAAATTGAGAGAATATGATGTCATGAGAAGGTTGAGAACGAAACTCTGTTTAATCTATGCAACCACGATTAGTTTAGATTAGATGCTGTGAAGCGCCATTAGAGGTAAATTGTGCCTTCGCCCTAATGCGCATACTCATATGATGCACTTTCTCATTGGCTCAGACAGAGAGAACTATAAAGCAGCACCACCAATCGTCACGTGAGATAATACACGCAGGTCATAATAACCATAATGATACTGGGCAGCAGCCACTTTTCCCATTTCTGTTATGCAACAGTCTGTGTTGTGTTCGTTTCTATTTTTATGCTTCTGTTTGTTTCAACTTATTACTACATACATGCAGCGTCATTAGTTATGATCAATCTTCGCCCTCTTTACTTTCCCGTTTTTTGTTAGTCGCGTCAAAGTAAAAAAGGCCCTTTTAAATTCAACCACCACAAGTAGAATTTCATTAAAAGGTTTCCTGGTTTACCTAGACAGTGCCGCTCGGGAAGAAATTCTTATTGGGGGGGGGGGGCGTTGATGGAGGGGGAGCTACCCATTATATTGCTTTCCATTCATTACACTGTGTTGTTTGGAAGACAAACCAGCATTTGTCCGAAGTTCGATTGGCTTTTCAAAACATTGCACCTTTTTCACATGCGCAGTTAAAGTCAATGTGATTGTTTTCACGTCGCGTAATGTTAGACGACCCCTCTTAATCTAACAGTGTGCGAGTCAGCGAAAAACTTCATATACGAATCAAACTCAATATAAAAATGCAATTGCCTCTAGCTTGCTTGCTTTAGCGTTGGCGACTTGTTGTGTTTGGCCTCTTCAAATAACAGCGACGTTTCTCAAGCGACACACGCTTCGACTAAAGACCTCTTTAAAGGGGTAACCTAACGAAGATTTCAGAAAGGTTGAAAAAGGCTGTTTCTGAATGCCTAGCTACTATTTTCATTATTAGTTGTGAGCAGTGCTGCTGAGAGGATTTGAAGACCCTGCGGAAAAACGGAAGATGGGGTCTGGAACGAATGAAGCGAGCAGAAAATTTTTGGCGACCATGCCAGTTAGACAAGCTGAAAATGCATTTCAGAATATTTTTTGCAGTCATTTTGTTGCAATTGTTTAAAGTGTTATACCATTGTTTATTAATAATTTGTTACTCTGACTGATTTCTTCCTTAAACTGTTTCCCTAAACCTAAGACCCTTGGGCTAAGCATTTCAAGGGCACTTTTCTATTATGCAGTTGGCAAAAGGGTAACCCGGTAAACTGCAAAGAGCATTTTACATGGACTATTTACAAGTGGGGGCACCCTGTGCTCTTTGTTCATACGTCTATGTTTTTATAAGAAAACCTATTTACTAGGTTCCTGATCTTAAATACTTCATGAAAAGGTTCCAGTTTTGATTATAGAAAATAAATAAAAACGCTTTAAAGAGACGTCATGTCAAGTCCTAAAGCCTTAATCCTCAATCCTTAAAAAAATTCGGCACGAACATTTTTCTGAATGTAAATTGTTGCAAACAACGCAAATATTTTGATTCCACATCCAAAACAAAATTGTTAATTTCTTTAAGTTTATGTCCTTGGCAACAATGCATCTTAACCCAACAGTTATCTTCAAGAAACAGCCCAGCAAGAAACAGCCCAAGATTTGGTCATTGCAACAAGCCAGGATTTTAAGTGTAAGTAGAAACAAATAACAATCATAAGCAATTGTTCATACATCCCATACAATTCCTTGAGGGGAGCATGGGCCCTTTTGAAAAATGCCCCACCACTCAAAAATCCTTAAAAAATGTTCTGGTACATGTGGTAGAAACATTAATGACATTTATGAGAATAAGCTGATCTCGAATAAAAAGACGAAGAAAATTTAGAGAAAAGGAGTCAAGAGAGGGATGAGGACAAAACTCTGGTTTATATGATGCAGCTATGATATCTGATAGCTTTGATTTTATGTTTTGAACGGTCATAAAATGTAAATTTTGCCTTCGCCCTAATGCGCATGCCAATATATAAAGCTTATCTAAAGGGCGTGATTGCAAAACATTTTCTGCTCACTTCGCTTGCAGGAAAGCCTTTTCTTTCAGATTTTCCTATGGCCTCCGACAACCTCTGTCGGCCCTTCCAATATGTACCGCATAACGAGTGCTTCATAAAATCAAAGGCATGAATTATCGTGAAGCATTTTAATGCGATTCTTATCAGTTTTTTCAGAAACAAGTTGTTTCTTAGTCTAATACACTCTTTTTTTGTAAGAACCAGTAAATTTAAGTTCAGGCTGACTGTTCTTAATTTTTTCGAAAATTTGAGGCTGGATTTTTCTTAATTTGTTCTTAAAATAAGAGTGTGTAAGCAGTGCTATTGCTACCTTTTTCGCTCTAAGAAGGTGTTGAGGCCTCATTTGTCACAAAGTGAGCGAGACAGCCTTAATTTGCTGACAAATTTGAATATTCACCGAAAAAGCAACCACACATCGCCAAAAATCCTCGATTTTGAGAAAAAATGTTGTTCAAAATTGCATTATGGAGAAGTTCAGCCTCAGCTTGTTCTTAATTTGTTCTTAACTTTTGACGAGTTTTGAGGCTCGTGTTCTTATAAAATTGTTCTTATAATAAAAGGAGAGTGTAATGCTGTCAATTCGAGCGCCGCATTGAATTTCTTGGCGCTGCCTCTGCCCTGTGCTTTAGTAACCCGAGATAAACCACCACCCTACCCTAGATTCAAGGGAACAAAGGCGGATATCCGATAACGTACTCGGTTTTCGAATATATTCACGTGACATTTTCCGTCCTATGATTGCCAAAATGGCGGAAAGTAAATTATCTTCAGAAACCTACTCGCGACTGTCAAAGTCGATGCAGGAATCCTATGCCAAGAACCTAGTAGATCGAATTAAGTTTTCTGATGATAGCAGTAGTGTGTTAGAAATTGGATGTGGAACTGGGGCAACTGCAGCATATCTGGCCCGAGATATGGTCAGGAATGGAACTGTAACTGCCTGCGATCCTCAAGAGAACAGAATCCGCGTAGCCGCTGAGAAGTATTCTGGCATAGAAGGACTGGAGTTTATAAAAAGCACTGGAGTTGAAGCTTTAAAGGGTAAAGAACAGGCCTACGATATTATATACAGCAATTCTGTACTACACTGGATGTCTGATGAGGAATTTGAGGAGACAATGAGATTAAGCTTTGTTGCAATGAAATCTGGGGGATTTGCAGCCCATAATGTCGTTGAAGCGATCCCAGAAAATATTGTTAAGTTGGTCAAGCATGCAAATGACGAAAATTTAAAGAGGCTTTATGAAATTATAAAGCCAATCAGCCTTGAAAGGCTTATTGATGTATCAGCAAAAGTGGGCTTCAAGATTGTCGACTCAGGCCGGATACCAACAGTGACAAAATTTGATGACTTGAAGGAGTATCTACATTTAATGGATGCATCGCTCTATTGCCAATTTGGTATCGAAGAAGGGTGCATGAAAAACAGTCACCAGATTGATTTGCCAAAGGATGAGGATGGCAAAATAATTCATGTTTCTCCGTTAGTGTTTGTTATTTTAGAAAAAGTATGATAAGGAAACCTTAGGTATAAGCAATGCAATTGAAGCTGACTCCCATGGATTCCACAATGTTGTTTAGTTGTTTGCTTTTATTCAATGAATGTCCCATGATTACATGTTGTTTAGTTTAATCGCGAGGGGACAACTCTGCTTGAACAACGAAATTATTAATTTGTCAGGTATCCCCCGGTTTATATCATAAGCCTTGCACCCCCACTGAGTGCACCTTTGTCCAACTACACAAAATTTCTTCGTGAAAAAACTTCGGACAAGTATTATAACGAAATTTTCTTCGACTTAATTTTAAAAACGACGAATATTTGTCACGTCGTTATTGCTCCAAGGAACTTAGGGAATTTGTATATTTTACCTATTATAAAGGGTCAGAAATAAAATCTGTGTATCCTTAATCTAGTCGATGTATCTTTATTTTATCTAATCACTGCAAAATGACATAACTGCCCTCATTTTTATCGTCATCATCATCATCAGTCTATTTCAAGAAAAGATTCTGCTTTTTCAAAACTGTACAACTTCTTCAATTCATTTGCAAATTTTGGACCTCACTGCCTTTCCTTTTAGACCTACACTTTTTCAGAAAGAAAATTGCAGATTGCTCTATAGTCTTGCAAAAACACTGAGTTCAAGCATTCACTTACAAAAAACCCTCTATAAAGGTAGAATAATATTTTTAAAGAGCATAATACAAAGAAAAATTGTAAATATTTCCTACATTTAAAAAAGGAAGAAACCATCGAATTCTCAGTAACAAACCACCACCGCTCAAACGTCTCCGAAAATGTATGGGCACTTGACAAAGAACAAAGTAATGTTCCACAGCGATTCGCGCTTAATTACATTTGCTCTAGATATCTGGGCATTTGGCACAGACAGAGCCATTATATTTATTATTGCTCATTATAAACGAGGAAACAGTGCCACTCAGGGCCTTGCAGTGAATGAATTACATTGGGTTCAGATATCTGGGCACTTGCCCCCCGCACAAAAGAGGCTCCCACTCAAAAGGGGTTGTTGAGTACTCCCCCGCAGAGGCTACGAGAACCGCGCCCTCTGCCATCACAAAATTCTTCTTCAAAAATAATGTGCAAAAAAATCTCGCACTCCTAAAGAATTCAGCAAAAAAATCACTCGCGCTCCTACGCGATTTTTACTCGCACTCCTGTCACAGGCACTAGAGGGCGGCGAGCCTCCTTCTCTGTCAACTGAAGAAAAATGTAAAAAATGCCAAAAGCAGTGTAAATAATTATTTGAACACTTTTCTAACTTCTTACTTTTAGAGCTAATTGCCCAAGACTAATATTGAAATAGTCCTTTTCGGCTCCCACACCATATTATCCAGTCGCCACGTCCCTGTAAAGACATGCCCTATTTAAATGTATGATATTTGTGAAAGCTCAATGTCAACAACAGTCCGCCGTCAAAGGATCACAGTTAAGCTTTGGTAAAGTAGCCTGCGTGCAGACTCAAAATTTCCTACGTGAAATACTTTTCTCATAGTCGAGTCTGCACGCAGGCTGTGATGAAGTATTCAACAGCGATGCCTCAAAGTTAATGGCACTTTAAGATATTGTCGGCCTACTCATGTTGCCAAGTAGCGAAAAGTGGGATTCATGTGTTGAGTAGCGCAGTTGCTGAAGGTGTGAAAAAGTGACAAAATCGTCATTTTACTTTCCCCGCTTCCCCAGTCAGAAATATAAGGGCAAGCCCGACGGGTGTTATTTTTTATAAAAAGGATTTATTCCATATTGTTATACAGGATGTGTTTGTTCCGGTAACGAATGATATTAGTGTTGAAAAGCAATGGAGCTAGAATTTATCCTGTGGGATTACATAGGGATTGTCAACATTGGAGTTAATGCAATTTAATGAAAAGCAACGTCGCACCTTTTCATCTATGAAGACTCTAGATAAATTTCAATCTTGTATCGCTCAAACCAGTAGAAGCAAGAGTGAGGGACATTCTGCTGTGCTAGAGGGTGGGGTGGTAGAGGGGTTATCACAAAAACTCTCTCTAAAAGCCTGAAAAGTTGTCAATGCTACGATTTTTCTAGTGAACCAATATGGAGGCACTACGAGATATTACAGATGAGATAATTCAAAAGCCAGTTCTACAATGCAACAATTCTTTTTTTTAATTTCAGCAGTTTGCTATAGCCACAAGGTTAGCAGATGGTTTTTAAGTGATGTTTATGCAGGTGAAAGAACTCTTGCATTCATTTAAGTGAAAAGGACATGGCATCTCTCTTGCAAAAAAGCACTAGTTTTATTTGTTTTTTACAGTCATTGAAGAACATTGAATAAATTTTAGAGATAAGAAGACTTCTACCTTTATCGCGATAAAAAACGAGAGGCTGTATTAATGAACCCAGATGTGTTAAAACATCAAACAGAGGTTTTGAAACATCATACCAAACAAGGTCTTATTTCAGCATTAAGACGTTAATTCACAGATGCAAGGAAAATAGAATTGCTAGCCGCTTATTTGAATAAAAGTTGAATTTCATGATATTGCAATAACTGAGTGCCCCCCCCCTCCCCCGCTTTTGACGACTAAGAATATATATATTTATCCAACAGCTAAGTGAGTGCCTGCAAAAACATTTGACACATTGCATCAATACTGTCCTTCTTGTGCGCACAATCTTGATTTGCTGTCAAGCATTAACCAAGCCTTTGGTTAGAAAACTCAAAACTTTGATATTTTCGGTGCAGTATCCTTAATCAGAATTGAGTACAAAGGTTGTATTTCTTTATTTGGTTTCTAAGCTATCAGAAAAAAAACTGGGTATTAGGCCAGTTCAGGACATTTTCGGATTGTATTAGGCCATCTTTTGCATTATACATTTTGATGAAACGACATTTACAAAAGACATAAGAAGTTAGCCACATTGTCAAAAATATTTTTGCTTGAAAATAACAAGAAAAATAATTGATATAGGATTTTTGTTTGGCAAGCAAAAACATCAAGCAGTGTAAGCCTTGTTCATTATTTGAAAATTTCATATATTGTACATGAATTTAATCATTATTTTAGTAATAATTTGCTACATCCTGCGACTCGTTTAGGCTTTCTGCATCTCAGGGAGGTGACACTGGCCTCTTCTTCAATTTCGTCCCGCCATCTCGTTCTTTTTATCTGTTGGATCTTTGAGCAATGTGAATTCTTAAGAAAGATGATAAGCTTCTAGAATAACTGTTTCTTTTTCTTATACTTGGGTTTATCGTAGTGAAAAGTTTATTGAGCTTTATAATTAAGAAACCTCATTCTATTCTCGATATTTGAAAGCAAGGAATCTCCAGTTTCGGAAATTCAAAGTACCACTAGATACTTGAAAAGACATTCCCATTCTTAATTTCCTAAAACACGCGGTTTTGATAATGCATTGTACGAGTAGACAAATCAAACATTATCAAATTTTTCATCCGATTTTTTTTAGAAAGTAAGCAACTAAACGAAGGCACTGCAGAGTAGAAAGAAATAATTGAACATCTTAGTTGATTTTCGGAAAACATTTTATGTTGCACATAGTTACTGGTACCAAACAGGGCCCCCGCTGGGCTGGGAGGGCTATAGCCCCCATTACGTTTTTGCTAAGCAAAAAATGACGCAATTAAAAATGAAAAGGGTAATTGTGACGCGCCCTACTTAAACTTTATCTTAAAACATTTATGTATGAATTGAGAAGTTGGGTTTATAGAAGAAATACCAGAAATAAGATAATGAAAGAAAAATAACGAGTTGAAGTCCTTCTCTAGTTTAAAAATGCATCAAAAAAACTAAAAAGTGACAATTCTTCCTGCATCCGCAATATCAACACAAAACACAAATTTGCAGCTGAACACAATACCAATTACTAGCTTGACCACTCAATTCAGTCTAGACAAATGGAATTCTCAGAGAATTACTGTATTGAGCAAACAATGAGACATCACTTTTTATTACTGTGTCTGTGTCAACTTATGAGCATGCAGTAAATCTTCTTCAAGCGAGTTGTGTTACCGTTATAGAAATAGTTTCCATTATCAGAATTCTGGCTGTGTCATAACACTTCTGGACCATTTTCCTTGTTATTACATTCGAGATATTACCAAAATTATTTTAGACAATTTGCATTTTGCACAACATTTCACAATTTGTAAAATGGAAATTTCTAGTGAGAATTATTATCAGAAATCAATTTAGAGGACATTCTGGAGACTCTGGAAACTTAAATTTTATTCGTCGTCCAACCATGGTGGGCGACAGTCTTAGAAAAGTTTTTCTATTTTTAGCCCCCCCCCCCAACTTTGAAATCCATGGCGGAGGCCCTGCCAAACCTGAATTCTTTCGATTTAACTGCAGAATTCATTACCAGGTTTTTATCGCTTAGAGCAGCACATTATCAGGGCTGGATAAACCCTTAAGCAGACAAAGCACGTGCTTAGGGCATCAGGGTCAAAGGCACTACAAAGCTGAGAAACGGGTGAAGAATGGAAATTTACGATAAACGATAAAACTAAAACAAGTTTTTCATAAAAGGAAGCTCTAAAGAAGGATGAAATAGCCAGCAATCGAGGACCTCTATCAATTTGCTCTGTTGCTGTATTTCCCTGTTCTTGACGTCTTTGTGTTTTGATTAACCCTTGTTTTTGTTGGTAGACTTATTTCTGCTTCTACCTTATCCGGTGAAAACTCTATCAAAGCAGAAGGCTTGAGCTACTCACTACACAATGGGTTTCAGGGGCATTTCTCCCATTTTTTTCCAAAAATTTTATGCTTTTTTGCAAAATATTTTGTTTTTCATCTTTAATTTGCCCTCCCCAACCCTCCCCCCCCCACTTCTCAACTTCCCTCTAGATCCCTGCCATATCAAAATTTTATGGTAAATATGTGAGTGATTGAATACATTAGAATCCAGCAAAAATCTATTGGATATTTTTCGAATGGGATTTCGTGTTTTCAATCACATCTGCCAAAATCTGGAAACCAGCCATTTCATTCGCATGTTTTTCATAATTTCAAAAAAACGAAGAAAACATATTTTACCACATTGAACCAGGGCCTTAAATATGCCTGACTCGCTTTGTAGTCTTGTAAATTAATGTTCTGGATCTGTAATTGTAGAAAGTGTGGATTAATACATAGTGCATTTTGTTAAAATTACAGCTTATAACACCAATCGAAGCGTTTAAAATTGAAGCAAAAGAATTAGAAAGCCCTTAGAAAGATTTTTAACGCAAAGGGAATGCCCAATCCCAGCCTTATGTATTGCATTCTTTTTTATAAAAAATTTGCTTTAGGGAGTGATCATAATGTATCTACTATATGGGGCCCAATAGCGAAATCAGGATATATTTCATGACCCCATAAAACACTTTGTTTTGAGAAAACATTACCCGTGAGCATAAGAAACTGATTTTTGAGGTCATTTCAGAGTGGTACCGACAGCTACGACAGAATGTACAACTAGTAGAGTTGTTAAGTATGAAGAATTATATTTTAGAATTTTTTAATTTTGAACATATAACCTAAAAAACGGTATGAAATACTTCTAAACATGAAACTCGGTTAAATATATCAAGAATCTGCTGAGATACAGCCAATGAAAAATTGAAAATTTGCTAACAAATTACTGTTAGTTTGACACTGTTCATTAAGTTTTGAAAAAAAACCAATTACAGAGGTTTGATGGGGAAAAATCCAGAGCTCATCTTACCATATCTTTGCCCAGTGGCGGATATTGCTGGGATGTGGGGGGGGGGGGCATTGCCAGGCAAACCCCAGGTTTTGTCAAATTGTCGGTTTCGTCGGCAAAATTATGTCATTTGTCGGCAAATTTGCTTGCTTCTGTGGGCATTGTCCCACCCCCATATGAAAAATGAATTTCAGCCATTGTCTTTGCCAATTCATTTGATTGGTATCCCGCAATCAGAAATGATTCATGGGGCTCTAGAGATTTTTGTGATGTCATGTCATCACTTAAGAACTCTACGGGAGTGGTGGTTGGGCTTTATACCAGGTTCTATCTCTAACGAAGGGGTATTTTGACAAGATCACACTTAGTTTGAAAGGATAGTGAATAAATTCTGAAGGATACATTACTTTTATTATGAATTTGGAGCCACCAATTAAAAGGTTTAAAGTCGGAACTTATCTTCATCAGTAAAACTTTTCCTTAATGTTCAAATTAAACTGAATAATACATTTGTCCAAATGAGAGCTTTGTAAGTTCCCAGCTCTGAATGTTGCCTGCGAGTCATAACCGTCATAATTTTGCTATTATCTTGATCTCTTAAATTCCTTCGCTTCATCTTTCTTTTCTCTTTTCTATTAAACTTGATTCCAACTTTGGTGTTATAAGAGTACCAATTTTTAGCATCAGTGCGCAGTATTCTTTAATTGCTAGATGATATCATTTTTTATAATCAAATTTAAATGGCCCTACGAATTGGGCACGGCTCATCCCATAGCCCTGGAAAGGTTAGGCAGAAATTTTCATGGCCCATCCAAAAATCATCCAGTCCCATGTAGCAGATACTCTATGACTGCTCGCTTATAAAAAATGAGTAATGGACATTATGAAAGAACTAAGAAACTTCAGAACTGGAACTGTACATCACGGTGCATGCGGAGGGAAATGAATGGTGCTTAATGTGACTGTCATGCTATTTTGAAGGTAAGATGATCTCCAGACTATATGACTTATTTTTGTGTGCATTTTGAAAGAACGGTTTATAGCATTTGGATCTAATTTTCAATTCAACTACAAAGTTTACTTAAAATTGGCACTGAGCCTAAAGACCAAATTCTTTTTGGAAATCTGCGAGATTGTGATTTCCTGCCCATGATGTTATTTTGGGCTTATGTGACATCTCTGTTCAGAAGATTTCAGAAAAGGTTGCAAGGCGATTTTACACTTAACAGGTTAGAAATTTGCAGTTCTTCTTGCCAGGGGGCCCGTTTTTTATCATTTCGTGGTGTTTCATCTTGTTTAATGATAAGTTGTATTGTATTTCTACAATATTTGAAATCTTCACATAATCGTAGTAATATGGACGGAGATAAGCAAATATTAGGGCGTTTTAAGGGGCGTGGCCTAAAACTATTTTTGGGGTAAGCCCCAGCCCCCGTTTGAGTTTTCCACTTTTGGACTGGTGCACGTTACAAACAAGATGGGGCTAAAGATCGCGCTGTTTCAAACTACGTGAAAAACGAAGAAGAAGAAGAGACCAACCACATTTTGTACATCTGTGAGTGAAGAGATTATTTGTCATCCACAACCAGGCTCTCGCTAATATAAAAACTTTTGGAAGATAAGATTTGATGACAAAATAATTGGTGGGCTGAATGCAATGAAAAACTTCCCATCAGGAAAAGAGACTTAGATTTAACTGATTTAGCATATTTTAATTATTTATGCTTGATCCTCCAAGTTTCGAGCTCCGTTCAGCTGCAAAGATATGGTGCCAGAAGCCAAAAACACCTCAATCGTTCTTCTCCAAAGTCTGGGAAACAAGACTGCTTTGAAGTGTTTTGATGATGGTGCAAGGAAGAAAAAACAGCTTTTGACAGAGATCTGAAAAAACTATGTACAAAGGTTTTCTTCTGATACTATTTTGATTAAAAATCAATACATCGTTGAATGATGCGTATTTTCTTATTAACCCAATCTATTCATATATTTTGCATATAAACTCAGATTTTGGGATAGTTGGAGGGTCATGGTAGCCAACCTTCTGATAGAAGATGGTACCTGATGATGATGATTCATATATTGTAAAAAAATCGGCTTATGTTACTAATACTTCATGTTTAGGATCTTGGCCAATTAGGATATGCTATTGACACTGAGGTGGCGAATATTATCTGTATTTGCCACACCCATCGTATCAATCCCAATAGAAGACCACGCCCAACTTTTATAAGAATACGTGAATCTGCAAAACTTTCTTAGTCTAGGCACTGCATTGAGCATTATCATACAATGACCGAATACAAACTAGATAGAGCTTGTCCAAATGTTGAAATTGCGGTATATTTTTAACATTAATGATCACCATCTCATAACAGAAAGGTTTTTCACAGCTGAAACGTATCAAAAGCCCAACAAAATATCAGTTAAGATTCAAGAAAGGCTCTACTCATATTCCTCAGTAACGTAGGGAGAATAAAGTGTGGAAAAATGCCTTGTGACTTGAATATTGGAAACATTTAAATGACTTTGATACACTAAGCTTGTATTGTAGTAGATTAGATGCAATTTTGCATTCGTTAATGTTGCCCAAGATTGGCATAGTTTGTACAGTTTATTGCATGGGTGGTGGATAGAATTTGCAATTGGGGGGGGGGGCGGTACTGCCATTAAACTTTGTGTTTTATCAATAAAATGAATGTTTATTCAAAAAAGGTTGAGGGTGCTGTAACTTATTCCGCCACCCAACTACTGTGTTTTAGGGTGAAAATACTTTTTGTACTACAGCAATCTATATTGTATATCTGTTTAGCAGGTCAACAACATTAAAAGAATGGGTCATTCTTGAAAGGGGGCACCAAGATTGCGATGGGTAAGTGCTTGGGGCACCCTCGACTCTTAATTCGCCCCTGTACACTGTTATTGAAGAATATTTCATGTTTTAGCTCAAAAAGTAACATCAACCTTAATCATACAGTAAATGATTTCGTAAGGATTAGTAAACAAATGCATTTATAAATGTAAAATTTTTCATGCCAGACTGAACAGACTAGGGGTGCCGTCCTAAAAAGTTAGAAAGGGGGGCTGTGCTGCAGGCAAATTCAAGAGGCCACGCCCATGACAACACCGTTACCACACCCAATATATTGGCATTTTTGTTGAAGACTCTCTTGTGTGTGTAGGAAACATTCAAACTATTCAATGACATAAAAATCCTGATAAGAAATTGCTCATTCATGAGAAATGTGTAGTAAAATAAAGTATTGCCACTTGCCAACACAGAGGCCGTCTAACCAATTATGAACTCACTTATTACGGAGGGTAGGGGGGTGAGACCCCCAAAATCTCTCCGAATTTTTGCAAGGATGGCTGAGCCCCCCTGCATGGCACTACTCGAACAGGCTATGTAACGGGCATTGATCGAAATGATGTAATTTTGGTTATTAATGTTCTTCCAAGGTTTAAACCATTGTGTGGGTTTTATGTCATTCCAAGGTTTAAACCATTGTTCCATTAAGATTCTCATTGAAAGTGGCTACAGGTCAAAAGTTGCATATGATCAATGGTGAAGGGCAATTCACTTTGCAAATAGAGCACAAAATTTCCTCGAAAACACAATAATTTTTATCTATGGTGTACGAGTGACTGGCCCCGTTATAAATGGGTGGGGGGGGGGGGGGGGTCATTTCTTGCTTGGTGGTGTGATTGCTTTGAAATACAGATTTGTTCAACTTTTAGTGAATTGAAGATAAGGTACTTTCTCAATATACAAGCTTCATCGGTTCTTATTAGAAGGCTTTTTGTGACTCCAAAGTCTTAGCGTATAGGCTCTTGCTTAAAATATCAAGTTCTTGTTGGCAAGTGTTAACGGTATGGTGTCTCTTGGGGAGCATCTATGTCACAATAAGCAACAACAATGGACAAACTGAAACAGAGATTTCTAAACTTGTGATTTTTGGTACATTTGCTTTATTGTGTTGAGGTGATATAAATTGTACTATTAAAGGATATACTCAGCTAAAATTCATTTTTCACCAACTGAAATTACCAGTTATTATTATAATTATGTCGTTGAAAGACCTAAGAATGCAAGCTGTGAGAACGAGACGCATGCGTACTGTCGTTCCAAAGCGCCATCTTTGGGTCGGTTACTTCGAGATCGAATTCACCCAAATTGAAAGGGGTGAAAAAGAAACCTATGCTTATTTCAATTTGCACACTCTTGTGATGGAATATTCAAATGATTATTGATAAATGTAGACAGACTGTTTTTTTGGATTAATTCAGCTTTTATTGCTTGTTCACAATTGCCAAGCCTACCGTTATAGGCCGTGTTTACATGGTACACGTACATTCCTTACTACCCGGAAAGAAGTGACACATTCGTTTTATGACTTGGATGGAAAGAATGAGTCGGATTTGCATATATAACTGGTTTACTGTGTTTTAAAAGTATTTGTTATTTGAAAGAAATCATCCATTTATTGATTGGAACCCCTGAATTTTGAAAGTTAAGTGGATTGCTCTTTGCAGTTATTGCATCGGTGGAGATAGGCCGCGGGTTATTCAAGCAGCCTGATATCATTTCCTCTGCATGTAAGTTCTGGTCTGTCGTTGTATTTTCATTCTGTTCGCGTATTACTATTTGAATCTGGGTAAGTATGTTGATCATTCACTAACGGTATTATTTGTTAAAGGCAGATAATGATTAAACTTTACGGGCATAAACTAATACCAGAACTGCCATAAAGCGGCAAGCTTGGAGACACCCTACCCTTGTTTGAAGGGCTTGGTCAGTCTGACAGCTATCCGATAGCCATCTCAACTCGACAGAAGGTTATTTTTCAATTCATTATAATTAAGCGCTTTCAACAGATTCGGTAACTTATGTGGTTTGGCAACGTTTTTTCACACAAAGTTGATATTTTGTTGAAGGCAGCTAAACTGACGGACGTGATCTCTGTCGTGACAGTGGAAAGAGCAAGTCGCTATTCCCTGTTCTTTTCTTTCATCATGCCACGAAAAGTATTAAAGAAGACAATTTTAAACAAACATTTTTTTGGTTACTGTAAAGTGTCTGCTATTACGTATAGCCTGCCAGAAACTGTGGTCGAAGCAATTTGAATTGCCCTTCGTCCCATCAACCACCCGTTCTTCCTTTCTCTTCTCCTTGTGATTTATGAATGTTTTGCATTCTTTGTTTTTCTTGCTCGCCGATTTTGCTTTATTGTATTAACACTGCCTTTGGTTAGATCCTGCAGTGTTGTGAAAGTATCTTGTTATTTTTTATCAAAATTATTATTTGTGGTAAATATAACCTGATAATATATGATTGTGTGAAATGGAATGCCTCAATTCGGTATTTGTTTGAAGTTTAATGATGCAGTCAGACAACATAATTAAGCCCGTGCTTTATTAAAATACAGCAACATGAGAATCTAGAAGTTAGATATTGAACTGAAACTCCCATTATCAAACTCATTAAAAATAATTCCTGGTTACACCATTTCTAACTGTGTCAGTGTCCTCAGAGGTAATCAATTTTGTTTTGCTTTCATGCAGTGTTATTTACAGTGCTTTTAAGCATTTTTTTCTGTAAACCTCAGTGGCATTTCTGCACCTTCCACTTCTCATTTCACTTCATCTGAACTCAATTTTTGATAATCTTTTGGCAAAAAACACATAATTTTAATATTTGATAATGCTGTTTTTATTTTGCACTCAAGAGCTATAGCCACTTACAGTCTTACTTTCGTTATCAATTACCTGATAGCCTTGTTTTGATCATTTATTGCAAGAAACCTTCCTGTGCAATCACACACAAGAAGCGTGTACCAACAGAGTAAAAAAACCCATTCAAGTAGAAAAATAACACTTTTGATTTGAGGGAAGCTGTTTCTGTAGCCTGAAACATGCCTGAACACTTTGCAACTGATTGATTTGACCTATTAAACAGAAGGAAGCCCGAACGAATGTTTAGGCCTAACAAGTATGTCATGTAACTTACCTCTCAGAATCAGACACAGCTTCCCTGCTGGTGTTGTGAATACCATTCTATGTCTTATATTCTGTCAGTTTCTGGCATTCCTTTGACAGATGTGCTTTCGACATTCGCTTTATCTTTGGGCGGGCTCTATCATAATCATTGGCTTGTTGGAAAGCTTCGTCAGAAATGTCTTCAAAAATATCAAGCAAGCCTTTGTAAATTCTCCATTTCTGGCTTGATGGCATCGTGCTCAACAATTAAAATATCACTCTTTCATTTCCTTTGAACAAGCAACGTAAGTCTTGCCAAATACGACTCCTCCTATTTAGGCAGACCAGCCATTACAGTAAAATCGAACTGTTCAGAGATCAAATAACACTGCGCAATTCGAAAACTGGGCGCTTGCGCTTGATTTGTCAAGTGAATTATTGGCAGCCAACAATTCAGTACGGGCGTTATATAGCGACAGTAAGACTTTAATATGCAAAATGGAACTATCATGTTATTATGATATATATTTAAATTTCTTTTTATATTTCTAAACTCAAAAAAATTCAGTTATATGCTTTCAGATATTCTGCATTCATAAAAGCTGCAGCATATTTTATAGAAATGTTTGATAAAAAGTCCTAGAACATGATAAAATAAAAGCGTAAAGAGTTAACCAAATGTTTTTATATACTGTAAAAGCTCTATTAAGCCCCAGGGGGGCTTAGTAATGTTTTTCATTCCTAGAGGAGGGCTTAAGAGAGAGGGGGGCTTATTAGAGAGAGGAGGCTTATTAAAGATTTGAAGCAAAAAAAGTTTTAAAAATGCCCTTGGCCATTTTTTGTCATGAAAATGCTAAACAAATGTTCTCAAAAAAATTTGCTTGCAGCTTTGAAAGTTTAATCAATCAAATATAATGTCCTCATCTTCATCATCAACATCATCAGGATAAATTGATAACCCTTGCACATCCTCAAACAAATTTTGACTGACTACTAAGTCACACAAGTTAGTCTTTACATAGGCCGTATTTAATGCACACAATCTTATCATCATCACATCTGTCAAGACACCCACTAAACACTAAATGCGCATGTTTTCTATGTTTGACATCAAAGGCTAAAGAGGCAGGCTTATTAGAGAGGGAGGCTTATTAAAAGTTTGTTCTTAATAAAGGGGGACTTCATAGAGAGGGAGGCTTGATGGAGCTTTTACCGTATATAAAATAGACTAGTAAATATAAACTCCCAATTCCTCTGCATTACCCTACCCCTAAAACTTTTGAATATCTTGTGATATTTATATTTTAAAATCTAGGGCAAGAAGTAGTCTAAAAAGCTTGAATCGACAATATATATTGATGTACCATAATGTTCCCTTTCGGTATTTCGGTCTTTATATTTATGATAAAATTTGCAAAATTTATATTTTTACCTTTTTAATTAGTATATTTATTGAACTAGTTTTCAACAGTCCTTTTATTCTGCCTACTGCCTTTTTTGTTCCTTTGTTGTAACTTAATAGCATTTTTTAGTTCCAGCATTTGTTTCTATGGATATTTTTGTTGTGTAATTCCAAACAGAAGACACAGATGACTCTTTTTCTTCCTGAAAACATTTCCAGTAGAGACACCTTTCAACAGTCGTCAAAGAATATACATAGTCTTATGAAATAAACCAGTTGGATGTCTTCCTTGTGGATCACAGTTTACCAGCCCTCTTTAAAAAAACCTGCAATATTCTTATTATAAAGGCATTCCTTCATTGAGCTGAAATAAGCAGAGTATGAAAATGGATTTGAAAAAAGCGAACATTTTACAACATACGTTTGCTTTTTTAATACCATGTTCCAGTTTTGTACTGCCAAAAGCTGTTCACCAAGCAGAGTCATAAGCCTTTTATATTTATTTTTTTTGTGTTATGATATTTTATCAAATTTGTAAATGTTTGAATGCAGTTAAAAATTTATATCGGTTTTTTAGTACTGTTAAGTTGGTCAAAATGTTAAAAATTCTCCCTGAATTATAATTGCTTTATTTGCTTCCATCTTGTTTTTCATATTCCAATATTGTTTAAAATTCAATAAATGTATGGATAAAAGAAAGGTTTAACAAAAAATTTACAAAGAACAGCATGAAAACAAACAGAGTTTATGGCCATACAAATTTTATCTGCCACCAAACAAAGAGCATCAAATACAAAGCTTTAAACACAATATCAGATCACAAGCAGATTCTTTTCAGTTAACTTCTTATCAAAACTTTTCTTCTTCGATTTAAGATGGTTAGATTAATCCAGTTTAAAAATATTTCAAGTTAGCCCAATGCAAGATACATTCTTTGCGGTATTGTGAACTGACCTTTCTGTAAAGTAATTTAACAGTGCAAATCAGAGTTGCAAATTATAAGCCTCCTGTTTTATAAACCCTATCATTTTCAATTTACGCATGGACTAAAAATATTCAGTCCAACCTCTAAAATTTCAATCATATCACTTGATTCATTAACAAGGCTTATTTCAGAAATAGAATTTATTGTTTAATACTAGGGTTGCAGTCCTGGTAAGATGAAATTTGTTGGCATGCTTGTAATTGCATACCTTGAAAAGTTAAGATATGTGCTGGCATGCTATCCATACAATAGAGACTAGGAAGAAATTAGCAAATTAGCAAGAAATTATAAGAAACAGAAGAGAAAAACAAACAAGGTCAAAATTTGGTATTTCACGTGGGATAAAAAGCATATTTTTAGATTGGTTTTTAGACATGTGTGATCACCTGGCTTATATTGCCAGGACTAAGGTTGAAGTTGGCACTGGTTTGATATAAAATCATTATTAAATGCTGTAGCTTTTGTGAATGATGTAAGCAGGTATCATTATAGCAGCGTTGCTAAATGCCTTTTCATATTTAATTAGAGATTTTTAACCCTCCATGAACTCTCCTTTTAGTGTATAGCCTTATAGCCTTTTTTATTAACATTTGCATTCTTGTCAGAGTTTTGTATAAGTGCTGTATAAGTCAAAACAAAACAATGTTTTGTCTTTTTAATCAAAGATGTATTTAATATGCAAGCCGTAAGAATTATTCACAGTTGTTTAGTGAGGTCTAATGGAGCACTCTATAAATAAGTTTTTACATAGAGTCCAATGGTGTTTTGTATTGATTTCCTATTTTGCATATCTGCAAGATCCTTACTTTCATTATCTAATTACTGCTTAATGAGGTTTTGTGACTGTTGTTTTATAGTAATATACACTATTTCATACTTATGATCTGTGTCTATGAAATATGAATCTATTTTTCTTGGTAGGTGTGAAATGATACATAAGTCTGCAGAGTGAGAATCATGCCGCCTGTCAAACCAGGATCTTTTAAAAACACAGAATATGCTGGATTATTCTATGATGTCGACCCAGACAAAGTTTTCAATGACCTCAGAGAAATTGGCCATGGAAGTTTTGGGGCTGTCTACTATGTAATTATTGCTTATTTTGGCTTAAAATTTGACAGATATCAAATATATCTTTTGAAGCCTTTGATACAAAACAAACCCTGATTTCAAATCTGATTATAAGCTTTTTTCTTTATCGTTATGCAATTTCAATTGGCAAGTTGCAAAATTTGAGCTATTATTTTGAATGTCATTTTAGATTATTCTCATATTTATATAAAAATTTGAAATTTCAAGCAGTTTATGTACTATTTCACTATCAAATAATGCTCTTATTCATTGGTTGTTAGTATTAAATACACGATTTATCATTCCTGCTTGTATGTTTATAGCATATAATTAAAATTTTTTTAGTTGGTCATGAATCTATGGCTGTGTGCCTAAGGCCTAGTTTCTTTGTCTCTAAGACAAGCAATTTGTCTTCAATGCACTATCAACTTAAAACAATGCAGTAGAATGCAGTGGGATATAATACAATAGAATGCAGTTAACCTCGTTTGCCATTTGCATATCAAAGCTTGTTTTTGTTGTAGGCAAGAAATATTCAAAGCAAGGAAGTTGTTGCTATCAAAAAGATGTCCTTTACTGGCAAGCAATCGTCTGAGGTAATATTTAGCTATTAATAGCAGCATGTGATTGTTTATGTGAGATGCTCCAGATGTATGTCTGTTTTTTAAAGTTAATGAAACATGTCTTCTAAGTCACTGGCATGCCATGACAAAAAGTCTTCCTGCCAGTTTACTCATAGGCATGCCCATGAAAGTATGTGGTTCTGTACTGAAAGAATTGAAGAAGCTGTGTATTAATATCCTCTCTCTAAGCAATCAATTTATCATTGGTCTCAATGAAGTTATGTGGTATGATGTCTTCAAAAAAAATAATTGAGGTGTTTTTTAGGAATTTTCTCTATTTTGTTGAAATCAAGATAATGCAATTTTTGATATATCAAAAAGGTTTATGATTGATATAAAAAGACACGTTAAGGTTGCAAATGTTAAGGACACTCATAAGAACAAAGGGTTTTACTTGATCTTGAATGATGTTCCTACCTATGTAATTCTCAAGCAGCCTTTTTTCATTCTAAATACCAGTTTTCCATGAGGGCTAGATCTATCTGCAGCCCAGTTTTCTAATGTGATGTTATTATTTTGTAGAAATGGCAAGACATTGTCAGAGAAGTTCAATTTCTTCACAAGCTAAGTCATGCCAACTGCATTGCTTACAAAGGATGTTACATCAAAGAGCACACAGCATGGGTATGTGTTTAGATTTTAGTTTTAATGTTAAATTAGTGTGTTTGTTATTCCAACTCCCTATCTACATATTACTCCAATATCACAAAGTTAAATAATTCTTTCTAAGACAAATCCTGAAACATTCTTTCCTCCAGGTCATAGATTTTTGGGTTCAGTGCCTAAAAATCTTGGTATTTGGCCAGCCATTCAAACTTTTGAATTTGTGGATGATAAAGAGATCCTGTGATATGAACATGTTTGTTTTGGGTTTATGGAAGAATGAATTTGCAAAGAATTGAGGCATGAAAAGAATAATGTTCACTACTTATCAGATGACATTGATGATCATCTTCTTGATCTCTGGGCTTATAGTTAATTGCTATTTGTCATGAAGTAATGTCTGTACAGCTTTATGGCTGGCTTGTGGACAGACAGGTTTTCCTAGAAATGGAGCAAAAAGGAACAAAGAATAGACTGACTCCATATACCTGCAGTGTAACAATGATAAATAAATGCTGTGTTTTGAAAATTCGTTTAAGTGAATATTTTGGGAAAATACCCTTTCTGTCACTAAACTACATCAGCACATGGCAGTCATTGCTTAAAAATCTAAATCATGCTTGCTAGTTCATCAATTGGCTATAAATTTCACAGTCTATAGAGAATTTAGATAATGGAGAATTTAATTCCTGGTTGCTTTGATCTAGGCCACTGACTTTTGGAAAAAAATTGATTTCTATGAGCATTGAGACAAATGTCTTAATATGCAACATTTCTACAGGCTCTCTTGTTCCTAGTTCCAGTTTTTGTTTAAATATCCAGAAACAACATGTAAACTTGATACTTGCAATTTGCACAGTCCCTGTATTTGGTCTGTAGGCTCTATATAGATCCTAACCTTTAAACACATATAATTGGATATTGGAGACATCTTTGAAGGAGATAGGGTAACCCATTAGTTCTTGCGGGTATCTGCACAGAATAAAGATAATTTGTTTTGGTACTTTTTTAATTGTATCATTGAATGTTAACTACACTTCCATAGAGATTTCTTGCCTAATACAGTCATCACGAAACTGCTCAGTTTTGTTGTCATTGCTGGGTAATGACTGCAAAGACTCAAACAACTACAACATAAAATCAACTAATACTGCTAGGCCAGTGAGTAATACTGGTAGTGCCAATATAACAGTCAATACAGTGGTGAATAGAGTTTATCATTAGCTATTATATATACACTAATAATTAGGTATTACTTCCCTTGTATTGTTTCATGTATGCTGATTTATATGAATAATTTATGTCATTTTTCAGCTTGTTATGGAATACTGTCTTGGCTCGGCTTCAGATATAATAGAAGGTGAGAAATGGTTTATAGATAGATGTTTAGAAGACTTTAAATGTTTTTGGCCAATCAACATTTAAAAATCCCACTTGAAGCGATATGTAAGCCAAAATTTACTGTGCTTAAATATCAACCGTTTGTTCTATTTTACAGCTTTTGTCAAATGATACTTGTAATCGTGTTTAACGTTAAATTCAAAAACAAAATAATTTGGTTCAGTATATTGAAATATCAGACTGGAATATTATGAAATATTAGCCATTTATTAAGTTCTTGCTTATCGTTTTAACTGCTATTGCCTAGGGAGCTGCCCCGTAAATCATTATACTTGAAGAAAACAGAATGCATTTTCGGATGGTAATTTGAATGAAGTCAGATATGACATTGTCATATGTATATATATATGCAAGGAATATTATGCCAATGAGTGAAAGACTTATCTCAGTGAATATTTCGCTCCCGTAGAACATTTTGATTTAGATATAAACATGTGAATTGGCTTTTTAGTTTAGCTATTCAATTATTAACGGCAAGGATTAGTGACTCAAATTTAAATATTCCTTCCGATAAGAGCGTTTAGCTTTGATAGCCAAAGTCAACACATGGCATAATAGACAATATGATTATAGCGTTTTTGTCCTGGTTAAAGTGAATAGTTAATGGTTTTTGCGAATCTCTTGTTTTTCTTTGTAATAACAAAGAAGGTTTTATCGTCTGTTTAATCAAGTATTTTCGTTGAGTCATCATTGTGTCGTCAATGTTGCATATGGCAACTGTTGTTTGGCATTGCTTGTTAATGTTTGATGTTAAAAAGTGTGTTGGCCTCCTGTCTTGTGACATTACGTATGACGTCTTGTGAGATAAATTGAAGATACTGTGCATACCGACTTTTTATTGAAATTAAACTTCCCGTCGTCAGATATATTAGAAACCTTTAGATATTCAGAAATGCCAGGAAATAAAATGGACGCAAAAGGGGGGCGGGGGGCAATCTTCGGTCTGAAAGTACTCGTATAAAAGCTGTTTTCCCTCAAACCTATGACATGCAAGATAACAAGTCAACCTTACAAGCGCTGACGGCACTAATTTCCTTACAAGAATCGATTACTCCATTAAAGCCCATCTATCAGCTCCCTCACAGAAAGGCATGAGTAAATTCTCTGATCATCATTAACTGTCATGTATTGTCCAAGCTAACCCTTGTTTGCCAGACAAATCACCTCCGATCCCCTCAAATATGCATTGCTTTGAACAACTTGCTTGCATTGTCTGGGGGGTCGTTTGTATATCAAATATCATTGAATTTTTTGAATGCATTTTATTTCTTATAGTGAACTTTATTCACTTTTATGTGATTGTCCTTCCCTTGGTTTGCAGTACACAAAAAGCCTCTTAAAGAAAGCGAGATCGCCGCCATTACCGAGGGTGCGCTAAAAGGCCTCGTTTTCCTTCACTCACACAACCGAATTCACAGGGATATCAAAGGTAAGATTATTGTTGCTACTGTAGGCAGTTGTTGAGGTTTTGTTTGACTGTGGAGAGTGTAAATAATACAGTAATTCTAAGATTGTAGTGAATACGAGACACTTAACTGTGATAGATTCCATCGTCCCTCCTAACATTTAAGGAAAAGTCAATTTGTTGATCGACAATGAAGTCCCACGAGTGAATGCAATAAGGGGTAAAGGAGTAATAGAAATAGAAGAATGGAGAAAGCTGAGAAAGAGAAGTCGAAAGATCTAAAAAATGTAAAGCTGAGGGAAACTATTTTTTGTATTAGCAATAAAATTGGCGAAAATGCTTTTCTTTTATTAGCCCTTTCAGTTGAAATTAAACAGACATCTTCTCCGAAGGTCTTAAAAACAAAACAATGTAAACACTTTACTTAACATTTTTTCGATGCATTGTGAATTAGTTTTGTTTATATATTTTCTTGATAATGTTATGTATTAACGTTGTTTCTAAAGGCAGTTTGTCCCCTCAATGATTGGCTAATATGAACAATTGGTCTTCACGCCGTAACGAATTACGCTGCTCGCTTTGGCTGGCCTAGCTGCGGCAGTTAACGACATTTGACACTGCGAGCAAAAAGCTATCGGAAATGGCAAGAGGATTAAATTACTGGACATGAATGATGAAAATAGAAGCATTTCTTTCGCTGTTGACATACCTGTCGCACAAACCAAACAAGGAAAAAATTTTCTAGCCACAGCTTCACTTCAACGGGAACACATCCATTTGATTCAAAGGCTCTAGAATCAAAATTTTCTCCGATTGGTTTAAATCGTTTAATTATCGATCAAGCTCGACGGTACGCTGCAGTGAAAATAAAGTTGAGCACAATAGGGGACAGACTGCCTTTAATCGCTATATTGTAAAAAAATGGAAGGTCTCTTGTAAACCAGCATTCGCTGAAAGGCTACCCTCCTTAAATTATTTGAAAATTAAATGAAAATGAAAAAAGGTATTTTTTTCGCTTGACTTTGAGTTGACTTTTGATAATGATAAATAATTGAAGCGAACTCTACACTTTCATTGCCCAAACCATCCTTAGGATTTTAGTTGTTTTGAAAGCCTTCCTACTAAGCTCGCGTTTTTACGTCATCGTCCTTAATGACGTTGTTGTAACCTGTTGTACTCTTATGCCCCGTTGAAAGCTGTTGCATGTTATGACGTAGTAATTCTTTATCCCAGCTGGAAATATACTACTTACGGAAAATGGAATCGTCAAGTTAGGTAAGACTGGTTTTAATGATTTTTATTCTTATTAAGACGCTTCCTTGATATTACCATCCACAAAACCAGTAGCTTTAGTTATTAGATATAAAGTGCCTAATTGTGCTTGGCTGAATTGCATTTCAACCTTTGCATCATTATATAATTTTTGGTTTTGCGGCTTAATGTTATTCAAGGGACTGACCTATTGTGTCTGTTAGCGCTTGTTAGAAGTCTTTTTGAGATATGAAGTTGAACCAAGTACCAGAAAAGCTGAAGATGAATTGAAATAATGAATATTTATTCTCCGAGTGCTATTTTTCTGTTTTATACGCAGCTTTACAGGTGTTTCAAATAGCATATTCTCAATTTTCAAAGTATTCCTTCTTAATTTCATCTTATCACATTCTTTGATTTTAGCGGACTTTGGTTCTGCTTCGATGAAGGCACCTGCCAATTCTTTTGTGGGCACCCCATACTGGTAAATTTTGTCATCATTTTTTGACGTAACTTTGTTGCTCTGAAGATTGCAGGCCCATTCCATACATTCAGTTTATCTATTTAAGTGCCGGATCTCGGGTTTTTACTCTATCTTGCATTCATTTTTGCAAAATATTTGAATTTAATTTTTTGTTGTGCAACGAGGAAAAATCTTTCACTGTTTTGTATAATCGTAAGAGAGCAAGATCATGTTTTGATGTTACAAAGAACAGGAAGGCCGTTTTTTTTTATTATTAATTTTTTTTTTATTAGGGCAAGGGAATTTAACTTGCCTTGTTGAGTATAAATTATGGAAATTTTGAATTGGTGTGAATCAGAAATTTCCGATTTCGTGACAACATTGGCTAGACCGGCTGGAACTCGATCCAAACTAAACAATTTATTTTCAGATTTATTTCAGTTAAAATAAAATATTGTTGAGCACAGTTCTAGGGATATATGATTAAACATTGTAAAACAGATTGATTTATAGCAATTTTCATTTTGTCAAATATCAAAAGCGCCTTTTTTATATTTCCGATGCTTTTATTTGCACTCGCCGAAGTAATGACATTTGAATGAAAGATCAATAAACTTGTTATCAATGTGTAAATGTTTTTTCTATATTTAGCAAAATCAGCGTTGAAAAAAAGGGTTGCTAATCTAACCCTCGAGTTTACCCAAGCCTTGACAATGTATAACTTTTGTGGGCTTATACTAATGGTTTTCTGGCATCAGAAAAATTATCTTGTTTTTCATGGCTTACCAAGCACGGAATTCTGAATGATAAGGCTGTATTTAGAATGAATAAGGTTAAAATTGGTTTTGATAACTTGTTCTGTTGTTTCAAAAGGATGGCTCCAGAGGTTATTCTTGCCATGGAAGAAGGCCAATACGATGGAAAGGTTTGTAGATGTTAATGATGACTGTAATGGGCGGTTCGATTTCCATACATCTTTATGTCTTATTCGAGAGAAAAATAATTATTACATGTAAAATTAATATAGAATGATTTGATAAAACGATGCCTTACAATCCACACCAGAACAAAATAATGTGTATTTGATTGCACAAAGCAGTTTTCTATTAGCCCGGTAAACATTAAGCGTTCTTAAATTCCTTTTTGCATGAAGTTTCTTTAAAAAGTCTTTTCCTTGGTATAGCTTAAAAAAGCAACTAGAGCCGTATTGGCTTTGTTCGGTGTAGTGCTAAAAGCTTTTAGATATGCAAATAGTGTCACAATAGTGGAAAAATTCCCTTCTTTCCATGACAACAGTCACGAGTCATTTGACGGGTTTAAAAATTGAAGTGTTTTGTATCAGCTCTTAAATTCAGTGACAAAACTCCGATATACTTGATAGTTGTGAATGGTAGAACGAATAACTGACAGCAAATCTTATATTAGTGTAGTAAGACATAGTTTGTTTAAGTTTTTTATATTTTTTCTGAGACATGATTTGTTTGTCTCTTCTATACGAATTGTCTCTTCCTTTCATCTCATAATTTATATGGTGCTGGAGAAATTTTCACGGGCGCTTATCGTTTTTTCGATTCTTTTCGAAACTTCACAGTTTTTAAACTTTTCAAGATTCATAGTCAAAACTTGACGAGTAATGTCACTTAAATTAAGTTGATTTATTTTGAGATTCAATAAATATTTGCTGCCTTCTTTGTTTTCAACAATTATTTGACACTGAATATATGGCTACATATGTTTATTTAAAACTTGCCTTTAAAAACATCTAATTCTATTACTGATAGAGATCTTTGATTCCTCGTACTTGTGGTTATTCTAATAACATATATTAACGTTTTTAATTTCAGGTCGATGTTTGGTCTTTGGGTATTACTTGCATTGAACTTGGTAAGTGCACTTACATACATCATCATGGTTTTAGCATCCTTTTTATCATTTTCTTTCTTCTGCATTTGGCTTTGTTAAGGGCCTAAAATGGAAATATCTGAACAATTACCAAGAAAACAAATAATATTTGAAAAATATGAATCCGTACTCAGTCTCCTTCTTTAACTAATAAAGAACCTATGTTGTGTTTTGCCTATATGTATCTCACATTGCTGCCTTAAAGGTTAGGCCCAAAATGGCACAAATGGCTATTTAAAAGGTATTTCAAAAGAGGGAGACAATAAATTTGCAATTTTATGAATTTGAATCGAACATTAGCGAATTCTCATAAGAAATTCTTTGATTTCATAGTGGATTGAAATATGAAAAGAAATTTGGCCATCACTATGCAAGTCAAAAGAAACCCTCTTTGCTTCTAAACTGAATTATTATGCACTTAAATGTTCCTTAGTTTTTTTACTTTCTTTTTCGTCTTATTCAAGTTAGAATAGTTTCTAGGACCAATGGTTCCATGGTCCGATACTTTTCCATTTCCGTCAAAGTCCGATAGCATCATATCTGAAAATAATAAATTGTAACAAAAAAGGCGTAGAAGATCGTAGAAGAATTCATAGTTTATAAGAACTTTTGTTATATTTTGTTTGTAACCCTAACTTTTGACACTGTCAAAGATTTCACCGTTAAAGAGTAAGGGCTACATTCGAAATCTTGAACGGAACGTATTATAAGGGTTTCTTTCCTATTTTTGACGCAAATCACATCTTTTGATCGTGTAAAAAGCTGTTTTAAAGCTGTTTTTACTAGATACATGTCATATTCCTATTGCCTCAAATAAATTCAACATTTCTTGTTCAATCTCCTTTAGGCGAGAGGAAGCCTCCCCTGTTCAACATCAACGCAATGAGTGCCTTGTATCATATTGCACAGAACGAACCTCCTTCTTTGTCATCGGATGGATGGTAAGTTTAAAGAAAAAACACATATTTTAGCAGCTTAAGTCTGCTTTCGCATTTTTAATTATGAGGCATCGAAGTTAAAGAACTATTCGACTCTTCGGCACCTCCATGTGCAAGGGAATGCACAGAATGCAAGGGAATGGCTTGTGCTATTACCGCCAGAAAGGAATTCTGCAATTAAAATGATCATGAAAAGTATTAGAGAAATCTCCCCCGAAGTAAAATTAGTCGAAACTAGTAAGAAGTCTAGTGATGTCCATTTGTCTTACGCGTAATTAATTTTAGTTAATTTTATGTACAGAATTCAAAATCGAGACCTATTAAAAAAAACAGGTCCTTAATCTCGATATTAGCAGAATATTAGAATATAAGCCTCTAGATAACTGCGTAGGCACGAAAGTATGAAAAGGTATCGGGATATTTTGTAGAGTTTTGATAAAGTTGGAACTTTGGAACGTCCGGCAATATTAGACTCTTGATAACGACATAGCCACGAAAATACGATATTCTTTGCTTTTGTGTTATGCCTGTTTGTTTCTCGTTGCTTGACAAAAACCACTGAATATGGCTTTGAATTGCATGTCGATTTACATTGCAGTAGTTTGCTTTAGAAAGTCTGTTTGCCAGGTCAAAGTGGTTAGCACCGCTGTGCCGTTTGAATGGCTCCTCCAGGCGAGCGACCGGCTACGTCATTCCCTGATAGTCGCATTCCGTTACTGAATTTGAATTGAATTAAATTCAAAGAATTTTATGGAGATCTATTCCCTATTTCTAAATAGTTTGATACTTGCCTCTCCATTTTATAGAAATAATGAATTATCCATTGTCTTCTTTCAATCTAGCTGCGGGTGTTTTCTGTGCAGCTCGCAAAGGATTTATGTTGTTCAACACTCTTTGATGCTATTAATGGTGTCTTTCATTTTTAATTTCTGTTAAATACTCTTCATTTAATAGACCAAAACTCTTTATTTGCTCCTTTTTAATATTCACTTTGAAGCATAAGACTTCACTGAATCAATAGTAAAAGCAATTCTACTCCTTAGGTCGCTGGAGTTCAAGGATTTCGTGTCAGCCTGTCTGAAGAAGTCTCCTGCAGAACGACCCACTACAGAGCAACTCATGACAGTAAGTCGTATTTTCTGTGAAAAGTATTCAAGTTGCTGCTGTTGTTGCCTTAATGTTGCTGTTATTGTTTTTGTTGTTGCTGTAAATTGGCTGTCATAGCAAGATAGGTTAAACGGATATTGTTGCTCAAGATGGGAGATTTGTATTAAAATTTCTGTATAAGCAGTGAGAATTAATAGTGTAACAAACATCTTCTGTCTCATTAATATTGTGAAAAAAGGTTTTTGGGAGCAAAATGTAGAAATTATGTCTGATGTCTCGTTTACATAATGTTTTGCAGCTGGGTCAACACAGAGCAAAACGAATGTGAACTTTGTCTATGCAGCATTAGGGCCTTCCTATCCCATAATGTAACTAATCCCTCAAGATTCCCTTATTCTCACTCTTTAGTTTGCCTTATATATTAAAACTTATTTGGCTTGCCATTTGGTAGTATAGTTATATCATGTTTCTCTCCTTTAGTCCCCATTTATAAAGAAGCAGCGTCGGCCTAACGTGATCATGGAGTTGATTGCAAGGACCAAGCAAGCCGTGCGGGAATTAGACAATATGAATTATAAAAGAATGAAGAAAATCTTGGTAACAGATGCGACGTCAGAAACATCAGACGATGTGTCGGATCCAGGCGATACCTCCTCGATTGATACAGAATCGAACGGACCTAGGGAAATGGTCAGTGCTTATTTTGTTGTTAACCTTGATTTTAAAGGGAATGTTTTAAGTCTTCCGACGTATTTTAATGTTCCTTAACTTTTATTTTTGACGTTTTCAGTTAAAACACCGTCAGTCAACTTTAGTCGGTTATCGATTACTTGAGCATGGGTATTCGGTAGCACTACTTAAGAATCTTTTTAAAGAAAACAAATTTCAAAGATCAAGATAATGTGTCGATTTGTTTGGCAAATTTATTTTCTGTACGTGAATATTAGGTAGTATTTTCGTCTCTTCCTAAGGTTGAGATGGGGGGTGGTGGTTAAGGCAACGAGACAAGGAACTGGTATAGCAGTTAAACTCGTCATGCTGTTGGCCAAGGAAAAATCTTCTCTCTAACTGGCTTTTCCCCCACGTGCGGATTGTATATATGACTTAGTCTTATGTTTCTTTTGTTATGTTATATTTACACAGGACACAGAGGCTATGAGGAAGCTAAGCATTAACAGCAAGGGAAGCAGTGTGAGTGAGCATGACAGCACGCCAAGCAGCCCAAGCAGCAGCACAGAAGACATCCCAGGGGCAGTGCAAGGAAATTCAGAGCCCCGATCTGAGAGTCCGATATCATTCTCCTTGTCAAGGGTAAGGCAAATGTTAAGAATGGGTTATGATTTCTGGCTGAATTTTATCATTGAAGTACCTAATGGTGTGAACGTTTTTAGTACCGACCAAAGCTCCGTAACGAAAGTGAGCAGACTTGCAAACAGCAACTGCCTTTAATGAAGAAATACTTGTTGTCACATTTGTATTGATGTTAGCACCTACTTCTTTAAACATGCAATCGTCAATGTTGTTTCTCCTTAGTGACGGTGAATTTTGTTTCTTGTACAAAATCTTACCATTAGGAGCTACCGTGACAAGGGGATAAATTTCCGTCAGTTCAACAGTACGGGTGGGCGTTAGGGATGGGGTTAGTGTGTGCTCAAGTATTGGTCACTCCAAAAAGAGTGTCTATGGAGTATAAAGGGCTGACTTAGCTTTTCGTTTTTATAGGCAGTATTCTATAAGTCGTATAATGGCCCATAGTTTGTTTATCAAAGTCGAATAATGGCCCATATTTTGTCTATCAAAATTGAATAATGGCCCATGGTTTTTTGTCAAAGGCGAATCATGACCCATAGTTTGTCTATCAGAGTTGAATAATGGTCATAGTTTTTTTGTCGAAGTCGAATTAAGGCTAAAATTTTGTTTCTTAAAGTCTAATTATGGCCCATAATTTGTTTTTCAAAGTCGAATTATGGCCTGTGTTTTATTTCACCAATATGTTTATATTATATTGGATTCCATTGAATTTTAGGTGCCTAATCCCAGCGAAAATCGAGAAGATAGGTTTGCTACTATCCGACCTGCAAATGTAGTTGCCAGGCAACAGCAAGAACACCAAGAATCAGATGCGTATCGGGAACAACTACAGGGATACAAGAGACTAAGACAGCAGCATCAAAAGCAAATTTCGAATCTTGAGCAGAAACAGCAGGGTGAAATGTTGGAGCATAGGCGGTCGTTAGAACGGGAATTTGAAACGCAGATGCATGCTTTTGATAAAGAAATGGAAAGGCTAAAAACGAAACACAGGGCTGAACTTGAGCAAAAGGTGGGGTCCTTAAATACTGTTAGTTAGATAATGTCCCTAAAGAAAAGTAAAAATTTAAATTGAGGAAGCAAGAATTCGTATTTCTTTTTTCTTATATCTGTACTTTTATAAGGTACTGTGAGTAAGATTTGAATAAGGCTTGACTTGAATATATGATTCCACTTTACTTGCTCTGATATGTTGGAAATAAGATCGCTCTTAAATGTATTGTGTAGGTAAAGTGTTCTTTCTTTCATCGGCCAATGAGGCGATATGGTTACTGAAGTTCTTTGTTTCCAGTGACAGTCCTCGTCGTCCTTGTCAGCTGTGCAACATCCACAATAGTTTAGGCCAAACTAATCTTTAGGAGTTTAGGATTGGCAGTTGAAGTCATTTGACTGGACCACCTCTTCCTGTCCCAGTTTTAGCTTTTTTCTAAGAGAGTTATTTCTGATTGAAGATTTATTATCTTTATCAATAGAAGAATAATGTAACGTATAGGCGATGTATTTGCCTTGTACTGCGTTTATATCGCTGTCTGCTTGGGTTCTTAGGTCAAGCAGGGTATTTCAGAGGAAAAGAAACTGACGAAGACAACCATGCAACAGCAAGATGCAGAGCTTAGGCATGTCGGTGTCACCGTGAAGAACGAATATAAATATGCGAAACAGCAGTTGAAAAAGGTTTGTTTCGTCACAATTCTTTGCTTCATGAAAATGAGGAATTCTTATGTCATCATTATCTTACCAATTTTGGCCATGCTTTGAAAGTCACGTGAGCTACATCGCTTTAAGCAGTTGTTTCCCCTATGTTTGCTAGCTATTCGTTGAATATGTTATTCGCAAACCTAAAAGTGTTTGAAATAGTGAAAAGTATAAAGTTCAAACGAAGCTTGCTTGAAAGTCTCTTAAATTGATTTCCGCCAAGAGTTCTTTTGGAAGTATTTTTGGTTCTTGTTCTTGATTATAATTCAAATATTCCTTTTTTGAGAGTTCATATTTTTGTGCGAATTATCAATGAAAATTCGACTGTCAGGTCATGCCAATGGCTTGCTTTGGGTATCTTTTCCCATCATTCAGATGTTTTTCGAAATAACGTTCCCTTGTTTATATTTTGAAATTTGCTGATTTTTTGAAACTTAATTCTCTCATTAGGAAATGTCTGAGTCGCCGATCGAACGAAGACCAACGACTTCTCTTGTTGAACTTAAAGAGCAATTCTCGCGACTGCAAAAACAACGGGAGACAGACAAGGCGCGGAAGCAGAGTGAGCAATTTGAATCCTCGCTAAGGAGTTTCAGGAGAGAACAGTTAATGCAGAGGCAGACCCTTGAAAAGTCACTACTAATCGAGGTGAGCATTAGTGTTAGCTTCTACAAATGGCTTTCAAAAGGAATTTTTGAAAGAATTACCAAGAAGCCCTAACAACATAACATCAACCTTTTACTTTGATTAAAAACTTGTTTGCTTAACCCCCCCCCCCATTCCCCTAACTAGTTTCTCAAAGATACTTTCTCGATTCTGGTTTCATTTTCTGCGATTTGGCAGTGATGAAATAATGAACTGGGAAATGTTAACTAGGAATTAGTTGATAGTTTTAGGAGATAGTTGAGAAAATTATCAGTTTTCTTTTGAGTAACTGCCAATCATGAAGATAACAGATAAGGAAATCTTCTGTTCCGTTAATTTATTTGTTTTTATCTAGTTCTATTTCATCAAGGGTTTTTCAAAATGATAAATTAAGGGCCACCAATTACTATATGAATGTTTAAATTGTCAAATTCTAGGCAAAGACGTCTACACAAATTGACCACTCAGTTTACGTTAAAACACTCTGGTTAAAACATGCATCAGTTCCTAGACCATTTATATTGCCTAAATGATATTCTTTGTTTACAAACATTGTGTAACATTGAATATTTCCGTTCTAGGAAATGAATACATTGCAAGCACAAAAGGACCAGGCTCACGGAATGTTGTTACGTCATCATGAGTGTACGCAGGATCTTGAGTACAAGCAGATTCGTGGGATGCAGAAACTGCGCTGGGATCAACAACAGTATCAGCATCAAACAGAATGGGACAACCAGATGGAGTACAACAAGAAGGCTGAGATGGAATTGCAGAAGAAACACCTGTTGGAACTCAGACAGAGACCAAAGACCCTCAAGGTATCTATACTTGAACTATAGTCAGGCTAAAAACCTGTCGTCTTCACACCCCCATGGCTTGCGATGAAAACGATAAAATGGACATGATGAATAGAGAAAGTGTACTTAGTTATGGATAATTTTTGAAAAACTTAAAGATGGCAGGGAATAGCAAAAAAATTGAAAAAAGCTTAAAGCTGTCTTCATCAAATAAACATCGGGTTAAAGAACAAAAAAGCTTTTCTTAAATTTTTTGGATCTATTTAGGTAAGACTAGATCCTATCGTCTTAAGAGGTAGAAGAGGTCTTTTTTGCTGGACCTCCTCAAGTATGTTGGGCGCTAGAAGGTTGGCCAAACTAAGTTGATGAATCATGTCTATTCTCTACTAGCTGACCTTGGTAGAGATTGCCCTATTTTTGTGCAGGCAATTTGTATTTTTATATCAAAAGTTATAGTTGATTGTGTGTAGCAACATGCAGTTGAAATTACTGCACTTTTTTCAGGCTCAAGAAATTCAGGTCCGTAAACAGTTTCACGAAACTCTGAAAATTCAGAATCGACAATACAAAATTCTGCAGAAGCAGAAGCTGGCACAGACGCCTCGAGAACACCATCGCGACATCATCAGGAAGTTCAAAGAAGACAGGATACGCAAGATGGCCGACCTAGCCTCTCAATACGACTCTAGTTTGTCAGAGCTTCTTAGAAAACAAAAGGTTTGTGCTTTCTTTGTAATTTTGATTCAGGTCAAACTGAATCAGATAAGAACTACCCAAGTTCAAAAGTATTTCTCTTCCTGAGAAGCTGGAATTTACAGTACCTGTCAGTGCAGACCAAAATAAAAACATTGTTTGGTAGTTCTAATAAATATTTTGATGTTAGAATCTTTCATTTGATTGGTTTGAAATGCCAAATTTTAATTGCATTCATTATGATTGCTTCGTTTATATTTGTCATTGTCTGTGACAGAAAGCAAGTCCTGAAATTTAACACCAATGATATTTACGAAAATGAGTAAGGTCTTATAGCAAAAAGCGCCACAAGTTTTATTGTTGCTGCAGGGGTTGTGCTATAATCTGTTCCCTCCTTTTTGATGTTTATCGCCCTCTTTCCTATTTCAAGGTACGTCTAGATGAGGTCCAAGTTCAAGAACAAGGTTCTCTCAGAGCCAAGCTGCAGCAAGAGCAAGATCTGCTTAGCAGATACCAAGAAAGACAGACCGCTTTGTTGAAAAACCACATCGAGAAGGAACTAGAAGATCTTCAAAACCGCGTCACTCGCCGTAGAGCGTTGCTGGAAGAGAGGGTAAGTCGAATTTCATTGCAGGCAGAGGCAACGCATTATCTTGGATCACACAGCGTTTTTTTGCATTTAGTTTGCTTTCGCTGATCACTGTTGCAAGAAAGTTTTTGTTTAGTCTTAGTGCAAACAAAGACAATTGCTGGGTTAGATTAACATGATCTCCATGGACCTTCATAGTCAAAAAGTTGTGTTGATTTATCAAAATATGAGAGTACCCTATTTTTAATCTTGAGAATCCTTGCTATAAGAGATAATCTTGAGAAATCCTTGGTATAAGAGATAATCTTGAGAATCCTTGCTATAAGAGATAATCTTGAGAATCCTTGCTATAAGAGATAATCTTGAGAAATCCTTGGTATAGGGGATAATCTTGAGAAATCCTTGGTATAGGAGATAATCTTGAGAAATCCTTGCTATAAGAGGTAATCTTGAGAAATCCTTGGTATAAGAGATAATCTTGAGAAATCCTTGGTATAAGAGATAATCTTGAGAAATCCTTGCTATAAGAGATAATCTTGAGAAATCCTTGCGGTATAACAGATATCTTGAGATCTTGCTATAAGAGATAATCTTGAGAAATCCTTGCTATAAGAGATAATCTTGAGAAATCCTTGCTATAAGAGATAATCTTGAGAATCCTTGCTATAAGAGATAATCTTGAGAAATCCTTGGTATAGGGGATAATCTTGAGAAATCCTTGGTATAGGAGATAATCTTGAGAAATCCTTGCTATAAGAGGTAATCTTGAGAAATCCTTGGTATAAGAGATAATCTTGAGAAATCCTTGGTATAAGAGATAATCTTGAGAAATCCTTGCTATAAGAGATAATCTTGAGAAATCCTTGGTATAAGAGATAATCTTGAGAAATCCTTGCTATAAGAGATAATCTTGAGAAATCCTTGCTATAAGAGATAATCTTGAGAAATCCTTGGTATAAGAGATAATCTTGAGAAATCCTTGGTATAGGGGATAATCTTGAGAAATCCTTGGTATAGGAGATAATCTTGAGAAATCCTTGCTATAAGAGATAATCTTGAGAAATCCTTGGTATAAGAGATAATCTTGAGAAATCCTTGGTATAAGAGATAATCTTGAGAAATCCTTGGTATAAGAGATAATCTTGAGAAATCCTTGGTATAGGGGATAATCTTGAGAAATCCTTGGTATAAGAGATAATCTTGAAAATTTCTTGATAATCTTTGGAAATCTTGCTTCTATCTTGAGAATTTTTTAGAAGACCTGGTTTCATTCGTTTATCTTGTTTTAGGAGGCAGCTGTATGACTTTTCCTTTTTTCGTAGATGTACGAAGAAAGTACTCGCCTTCAAGATATTAGGCAAGAAAGGCTACGCGACCTACAGGCTCGTCACTTACAGGAACTGGCCGAATTCGATGCCCAGGCAAGCATGTTCTACCGATCATCGGAGAGTCCCCGACAAGTACGCTCGGCAAGTTCTCGCAGCAGCGTGTCTTTGTCCAGTAGTGGCAGCTTCACGTCGGGCTCATTTGTCGTGTCTGGCAATGGAGACGCGCGCGACCAGCAACGAGAACCTATGCTTTCTGGTTTCAAAATTTAATATCAGAAAGATTTGTAATACCAGTAATTTTTACTCATAAGAAAGCGTACGATATCGTCGATGTTTTGAACCCGGCCTTCTACAGGACTCGTCAGAAACTTGAACTCGAAAGGCGCAGGCCGTAAAATGTTAGAATTTTTTAATGAATTTTTGAATACGGAAATTTATGTGAAATTTAACGGAGTAATTCGATGATTTAATTCTAGAAAGTGCCAAAAACGTGAAACTTTTCTTCAGTCGTCATAATAATCAGGAACTGCTCGAGAAAATTCCAACCATTTAACTCAGCCACCAACTGTTTTTATTCTAATCTTCGTGTAATTTTTGTCAGCATGCTGTTTTATCAACAAGGCAAGTGACAACCTTGTTATTCACTCTTCGAGGGTTGTATGAACAATCTCCTTTTATTTTATTGATATTTTTGTATGGTAGAATTTAATTTTACCCAACAGTCAGATGCCCTAGCTAGTCGAGAACCCAATATTGAAGATAGTGTGGTAACCTCCTAATCGAGTTAGTTGGCCTTTCCGATTGTTTGTCCTCTGCTCGAATACGTTGATTTTGAATCCATTGCGAAAAGTATGTAACCCAAAATATTGTCATATTCTTGGGCAGTTCGTGGAGCCAATACGGACTTGAGATGATGTGTCATTCTTTCATATCTTTCGTTTTCTTTTTCTCCCGGCAGTCAGCCGTAGATTCATAGGTTTTCGTAGGCGCAAAGTTTGTGTTTGTTTGTATCTAACAGACGGGAGGCCTTCAAAAACACCAAGTTGAAAGGCAAGGCTTGTCATTTAGAAGCAATATAATACCACCAAATGGAAGTTTTTATACCTTAGACTTAAACATCCTAGCTTTTTAGTAGTTTCTATCAAAATTCTTGCTTTCCTATGACGAATGTTTTTAGCTATTTGGAAGGCACTATATCCCGACACATTTCGATGGCCATCTAAATTCCCCATTGGTTGGACTTAAAAACAGTTTCCAACAATGTTTCCAACAACCCACCCTGCATTTCCAGGTTAGTTTCCCAAACTTTATCCCGTAGGATTTTTTTCGGCAATTGATTCTTGTGCATTTTGAGGGGGTTATGGGCGCTTTTGATTCCCGCAATACACCCCATTTTTCCTATTAACCGAACTTGCATTTAAGAACTTGTTGACAAGAATTGCCTCATCAGCAAAATCGTGCTGCTTTAAGTGTTCTCTTAGGTATTTATTCTTAGTGGCACATGCATCGTTGAGTTCAGCCTTCTTCATGGTTGTGTTCGGGAAATCTGTATCATAGTACATATATTGGTAGGAAATAATTAATCTTCATATTTGATGTGAATTAAATTCATGTGCTGGCCTTATCTAAGATGTATTTTAAATTTATTCCCTTCTTTGCGTATTACTCGCCGTTCAATATGTCATTTACTTTATTTGTTAAAACTATATTCTATCTTTTCACAGCGATGCAAGTCAAACATTCCTTTTCTCACGTTTTCTCTTGATTTTGCGTGCCACCTTTTCACATGTTTTTCACCAAATCAAATCGTCAGACTTGGATTTTAATTTGCCTTAGTATAGTATCATATTAAAAGGCAAGTTACATGGAATGATTTTTACCAAAATTTATCGAGGCGATTTTGAAATTGTTGGTGCTGTGTTTAGGTCATCAGAATCGACAAAATTCAGATTAATCTTGTGCTCTGATGAAGCCCTATATGACAGGGCGAAATATTAGCCTTCGCTGATTTACGTGTATTTATTATTGTTCATTCTCGTCGTATTGCGGTGTTTCTTATTTGCTACATTTTCATCGATATCTCGCCGCAAGAACTCCTTGGAGTCCGTCGAGCAGGCTGCTATCATGACCTTTCCTTTATTCACACATTTCTCTAAAACTTTTATTTGATGCTAATGAAATTAGATTAAATTTTGTATAGGTGAATAGTTGTATATTTGGCTCACTAACCAATCGAAAGATGAAAAGATTAAAGTGAATGAATTGATGTAAAACTGGCTAACCCACACATCGATTAATAGGCATCCTATCACGATAGCATTCCCTTTTGTAATCAAACATTCCCATAAATGTCCTTGAATACAGCGCAATCCGAAATCAAATTGAATGGAATTTGAAATTATTATAAGAGTACTTGGATGTATGTCCGTTGACTCTCTTTTAGTTTGATAATTTCCCGATAATTTAGAAGCTCCAAACCTAAAAAAGTTGCTTTGAAATCAGTACAATGCTTTGAGATAATGAGAAGGAGGCTTCGTTGAACAAGAAAGAGGCTTGTTGACTATTTCTTGACGACAGTAAATCAAGGCAAACAAACCAAAAGGATCTTATTCTGAAACATTTTACGGGTATTTTTTAAAATCATTATGTGCTGAAAGGAATATTTTTGTACTGCAGCCTACCAATCGAGTTCTACGACAACACATTCGTACATAAAGCGCATATTAAATGCCAGTCATGGAAAGACATTTGCTCAAAGTTGCTAGTATGGCCGGGACAATATTTAGGCCTAGTCGCCCACACATTGTGAATGCAGCTCTTGTCATTTTAACTCTTGGTGTCGTAACGAACAACTGCATGGTAATTGGTTTATGTTGTTATTAAAAATGAGTTTGTGGCTTTTCTGAAGAAGTATGTTAATGCAAGGCTGCTGCTCGTTTGAAAAATGGTGCTGCTAGGGCCAGCGTTGTCAAACTCGATCACGAATCGTAAAATAGGTCGAATATGCTACTCTACAAAACTCATAACTAGACAAACATAATTGACAACACAATGCAAGATTCAAAATTTCCATTAACCAGCTGGAGACAAAATATATATTAAAGTCTTATTGAAAAAACCTTTCCATAGCAGGTTTGAGTCACATATACAGGCCAGATAAATTGGTAATTCATTGAAGTTGCCAAAATTGACAATGATTTAAGATGTTACTATAATGCTTTCCACTATCTACAATCAGCTTCAACTTAAAAATTAGAATAAATATAACTAAGTATAGAGGTATTACAATTTGAAATAACACAAATCCAGTAGGTAGTAAAATTCATAAAGGAGGACTCTCTCAGCCAGTCTGAAAAGTTTGGTCTGCGCGGGGAACGTATTCCAATAATTTTTGCCCTTTTTTCCTCCGATTTCACGGGCAGTGTTTGTTTTCCGCAAATTTCAAAATTATTGTTCTGGCATTCCCCGTGCAGAAAAAATACTTTACAGTTTGGTCTCTCAGACGCTAAACTAATTGAGAAGAGAGAGCTCGTTTTCTTAATTGCAATTGGAAATGTTGCAATTAGGTGTGGAGATGCAAAGGCTTTTTTCAGCATATCAAACATACAGGGGATTTTCTGCTACCATCAAAGAGAAACCCATGAGGGAACTGAGCAAATTGCCCCTCCCCCCAGAATACCAGTAGGGGAGCCATTTCCACAAGAGAAATCTCTCATGAAGATGACAGCCCCATCAGCAACCCATAGATGTCCCCCAACCCATCCTAGAAAAGCCCACATACAACAACATCCCCCTAATAATGAGTAGCAAAGAAGTGAACTTTTATTTTAGATCTAAAAGTCTTAGATAGATGAGGGCTTTCTGTTATAAGGGCTGGTACATTGTTCCACAATTTCTATAACATGTTAACAATGACTCAATTAACTTATTGCAGTATGATGATGCTTTTGATGTTGGTGTAAATGTTGGACATCACATAATGAGAAGGTCATTGCCTGAAACTAATGCTGTTCCAAATATTACATACACATGTAACATTTCAAGTAAGTAAGATCACTTACTCCTTGTAATTTATCAATGTTTGTACTTTAAGAATATCTACTTTGAATATCTGATTTGTTAATTTTACTTATGATTTTTTGTGTATATGCCTTTTTGATAAATTTTTGGTAGGGACTCAATTTCTTAAGAGACCACAGGATGCACTGCTAATTTCCCTTTGCTTGCTTGCTTTGAAAATATTCTTAATGGTTGATATACTCACAATTAGCTGCCTTATGTTCTTGACTTACAGAATCAGTTGTCTTATATTTTGTACAGAATATTTCTACCTAAAAAACAAAAGTTTTGCATAAGTAGACTGTTATCATGTACACTACAAGGACAAAAGTATTTCAACAGCCAAATGAAAATGGCATCCAGCAACCAAAATAATGAAAGTTTTGCAGACTTATGTCTTTACGCTGAAGTATTCTCCCTAACTGAGAAAATAATCATGCTAAACCAGTAGTCAAATTCTTTGAATTTTATGGTGGATTTCAAAATACTTCGAATTAAAATATTAACATAAGAAATTTTACAGTTTTAAGAAAAAATATCTGCAGTGGTAAAATCAAAAGATCAACAGGATCAGGAGCTAGTAGTTGTGATAAAGCTTTTTTGTGACTGGTCTTGTAATTTTAAAGATTTGGACACTTTTTATAGAAAATGATAGCAAAATAGTTAGAGATCAGGAAACAAAAAGTGAAGTCATTATTCCCGACTTCCTTGCCAAAAAAATTCCAACTCAACTTGGGTAATTTTTTTGGTACAGTTAGGCCCATATGAATTGGTAAATTTTGTGCATGCATTTATTCCAAAAAAAATTTCCGCACTTATCAGAGCCAGAATCACCTCCACAAAATGTTTGTTTAATTTATAGTTACTTGAATTGCTGATTCAAAATATTCAAAAATGAAAATGGAATATTCGAATTTACATTTCATTGAATTTGCAGTTTTATTTGCATGACATTGGCTGATTAAATAATAGCTTAATCAGACAACAACAAAAGTTTTATTGGCCTTCGCAGGTGTTGCAATACTTTTGTCTTGGTAGTGTATATCACAGGGTTTGCATGGAGTCTAGATGATTGCCCCTTTATTGGCCTACAGCACACCCCCATTGAATTTCCTATATTAGGCTAGCATCTGCCATCCTTTTTTCACATTTCATCCAAATTTTGCATTCAGTCAACTGGAATGAAACTCAGAAGCCTGCCCTGTAGTATACAATTTGTATTCTTGTATTGCCTTTTGTTATATAAAGAGATATTGTTTTACATATTTCACCATTTCTTGCTAGCATTGCCACAACCAACTGAAGACTACCCAGCCATTCTGTTCAAAGATGTCAATTACAATAATTGCTCTAAGGGTGGATTTTATGTGAAGATTAGGGCTGGACACTACCACACATGGTGCAAGAATGACAATCTAGCAAGAAAGCGAGTAATGAGGTTTTCCTCTATACTTGTCTTGCCTGGACACAATGTTACTTTCAAAGCCTGCTGCCCAAGTGGAAATGAGTGGTATAAGATGGTGGATGATATCAGCAGTACACCTGACTTGAACCACACTGTTTTCTATAACTCTAAGCTGAGTGGAAACAAAGGCATTTGGTATACAAGTATGTGAAAAATAGCATCTTCATTTCACTACAGGATTAGTAAATTTGAAATGTCATATGAGTGTTTACGTTCTATACAAAGAGTGTCACTGTTTTGGTGGCAAAAGTCCACTATGTATCAGGTTCTTTGTCTGATTACCATTTCAACATTTCATAAAGAATTTGATAGGTAAAACCAAATGTCCTGCCAGGGTATTAACTTTTAAAACATGCCCAGTCATAGCAGGCCTAAAATTATTCTATGTCTAGCTAGCATTAGTAATGATGGAATGTATTTTGAAGATTCCCAGCATGGGAATACCCTTGGCATACCAAGTTTGTTGTTGATATCAGAGATATTGGGATTAAAATTTCGGTTTACATTGCTTCCCATGAAATCAGAGCTTACAGTAAGTCAGAACAATAAGTTGAGTTAATATTTAGGGCATCAGCTGTTTCAAGATGTCAGTTTCAAGATGTTTAGGGCATCATTGGCCTGTTTTATATCTTTATTTTATGCTACTGTGAGTTCGGGATCAAACTTAGGGGAAGGATTGAAATTAATATGGGGGTCATAGCCATGTCAAATATTTATGAAATTTCTCAGCAAAGAGTCTGTTTGAATTTCATGACAGTTTTTGGAATTTTACTTAGAATCAAGGATTTAATTACAAAATGGCCTAAAATAAAATTGTAGTATTTTTTCATCCAAGCTATCATGTTTTTTATATTTATTTTGTGAAATTGGCAAATTATATCTTTCGATGGTAGAAAAAAATCATTTGCTAGAAAACAAAGATATGTGCTCATAAATGATAATTTAGAATTGTGTTGGTTTGGTGATTTACTGCAGATTTTACTAGTTTTGCTTGATCAAGTAGCCTAGTAGTATAAGCATATTGGGCATTCGCTGCAACTTTAAGAAGTAAGAGCTTCCGTTAATTGATACAGACACGTTTTAGAGAACCTATACCCCTATCGATCACACTCATCAATTTTCAGAAACATCCTCCTTCTGTATCAAGCCTCGTCTATTACTGAATACAAGTAATGTAAGCTGCTTTTTGTCTATTTTCCCATGGATGTCTAGGATGCTTTTATTTCGGCCCACATTCTTTGGGCTTTGCACCCTTGTAACCGCAGACAATCTTTTGCATCTGTTCTTGCGAGTTATGGCACGTATACGCGGCTGAATGTTTACGTTGTCATGCCTGCATATGAAGTAGGAGGTAATATTATCCTGTTTTTCATCGCTTATAGTGGCTCCATAAGGATATAAACTGTATTATATTTAGAATATTTATCAAGGACGACTGCTTTTTATTAAAAACAAATTAACACCTGTGGATTACTGCAAGGTATGGCATAACCATATCTCGTATTATGCAACATTGCTGCCGAATGACTACTTTCAATCCGATATTATTTCTGAATTTATCGCCGCACATTTCCTTGGTTAATGTTAGGGCAAAATCTTTAGACACTTGAGTGTAAATACCGTAACTATTGAAAACCATAGAATCGATGTTTTGGGCAGCATTTTGTTGTGCTATAAAACAGTTTTTGTCTCCTCAAAGCCGTAATCATGTCCTGTTTTATTTGTAACGTAAACTTTTTTATGGAAACCCGGTTTAATCTAAATTTGAATTAAACACGGAGAAACATACAACAAATGTTGCAACCTTTGTCCCATTTATTTATTCATACATCGCTGCAATACGTCTTTGCTGGGTATATATTCTGCTCCGAATGATTTAGCAAGTTATCCCCTTAATTTCCCGAAGCAAGTTCAGAAACTTTCAATCTTCAGTCACAAAAGCAAAAATGAATCCAGCCAGATTTCTGTGCGTAAAGCTATGAAGTATTGAGGTCAAATTTAGGCCTTAGCAGAACCAGCTCTAAAGGAACCCCACAGTAAACATTAAGCATTTGCATGTTTTGATCTTCTATTATTTAGTCGCCTTCTATGTATCATCGTTTCATTACATTATGCTTAGCCATGCAACGTTTTATAGCTTTGTCAGCTGAAAACGAAAATCCTATTGAAAATTTCTCAAGAGTATGCGTCTTAGATACTTTGACTTCATGGGAAACCGGACCTTACTTCTTTAGACATAAACGAATAAATTGGAAATCTTGCTGCATCAATGATTGAAAACTGCATTTTACTTTAACAATCTTATTTTCTTTTAAAGGTTGGTTGCATTGGGACACTTCGTTCTTCTTGAAAGTTGAAGACCATTCAAATGGAACAATGCTTAGTGACAGTTGTGGCAACTGTTACTTTGGCTCTTGTGGAGCAACGGGGAAGTGTGAATGTGCTCCAGGTTACAGTGGATCTTCCTGTGGAACACGTAAGAAATTTTATGTCAGGAAGCTATGTATTTTTAAAATAGGCAAAAAATTTGCCTCATTCCTCTACATGATTCCTCTAGGTAAAGAGAACCCGTATATGCAAGGGAAGGTCTTTTAAATTTGGCTGTTGCCTGCTTCTAAGCCAAAAAATTGGCCATTTCTCTGGTTTTTACAGCTTACTGATTACCAATTGAATAATCTTTTCTATCGGATACAAATCTTCCAGGATTGTATCACAGGCTTGTGATCAATGTCACCGAATTTAACCATTTACTCTATGCCAAAAGAGCGTATACCCACACTCGTAACGGCAAGAAGGCCTAATAGCAGAAGATCAAATATCGTGGTTAAGAGGATCTTTTCTCGCGAGCAAGGACGGGCACGTGGTATTCTATAAGAAAACTACTACTGAATCTTTGATTACGTTTTAATGTTGATGATATTTGATAGGTTTTAAAAGAGCACTATGCGGGTCTATGAATTGCATTCTCGTAGACATATTTAGCTTTTTAGGGCGTCAAAAGCGTCAATCAAAAAAGCTACCGTTTTTTCTCGTGAATTGCATTAAATTGTCCGTTTCTGAAATACCAATGATTTATGTCAATTTTGTACCTTATTTGCAGATTAAAAAACCTTTGAGATTGCTTCATACCTTATGAATTTATCTTTAAATATTAAAAATTCTGGCTCTTACTTTTAAAGAGAACACAGAAGCGTAATTTTAAAGGCAAAAACGGTTTGATTTCGTGATTGTATTGTATTCACCGCGGTTTTCCCAGGGTCCCTTTTCTAAAATCCAAATTGAACTGAAAAAGGACTTAATGTCACATTACGTAGTCATCAGGCAAGGGCAGAAACCAAAAATCAAAAGTCATCTTCATTCAGCTGTAAACTCCATTTATTTTTAGATTTTTTACTTTGAATAATCATGATCTATAAAATATTGTAAAAAATGTTTAATTGATATGTCATATATTATTCTTAAAACTGGGTCGAATGGTATGTCATAAAACATTCTAAAGATTCAATTAGGATATATGGAAGCTGTAACTAATGACAACCACTGGACAGTATGTGGCCAGTTTATAAATGTTTTTGCATATCAAAAACTGTTATTCTGCACCGCATTCGTACCCCAATATTTCTTCGTTGTGATATGGCAATCCTGTTTACTTTGCCCTGCACCGAAGGCCTAATTTTCCATTAAGAACTTAAAGTATACCTCATTCGCTTTAACTTGGAGCATCGATATATTTTTGGTAATTATTAGTAAGTTTTTAAGTACACTAGACAGTAGATATCTTCATAATTGCCAATTCAATTACAATGTAATTCAATATATCTATACCTTTAAGGTTAACCACAAATGCAAATATTATCTCAATTTAATGAAATGAGAGTTCATCTTTAAGAATCTAATTATCAAATAACAGGAAATGAAATACAATTAATGGCCACATGACTAACTTTTAGATTTCCTTAACTCTGTCAGATTATATCTATCTTAGATGCGCCGTAGCATTGGTTTAAGGTATTTCAGAAATCAAAGATATGATTTACAAGAGAGTGCCTAGGATTGGAAAAACCTAGGAAACGGTTGCATTAGTGGCTTATAGATATTATGAGGTTTACGTGACACATATCAGCCTGGTTTGAAATTTCTTATGTAAAACTCTATAGGAAACAATTTGAAAGCTGAATGATGTCTTCACTTGGTTTTCAGCTCTCCGGTAGCAGGAATTGAAAAACAATTTGGCAAATCTTCCAACTAAACCTTATTCAATGTCCTTCATCTTTACGATGCTTGAGATGCTTTCCTGACATTTTGCTTAAAATGGAAATATAGTAATCAGACTTTTTATTAACACTTAGAGCATGCACCATTATCACTGTTTCCATAGAATTGCTAATTATTATACGTTCTATAATTTTTATATAAGACGAAGTCTTTTTCAAGATAAATAGCTAATTGACAGAGCATTGTTAGTATAATAAAAGGTTTGCTCCTTCCTATCAGACTTGCCAATTCCAACCCCAGTCTAGAAGAATTCATTTTAGTATTTTTCTGGATTTGCTGATAAAAGTATACAATCACTGCAAAATTTATTGGAACAGTAACTAAAATTTTCAAGATCGTTCTCTTTCAAAACAATGTTGGTTTACTGCAAAAGGTTTGCAAATGTAAGAGGCTGGAAAATGTTTTTTATCACTTGTCTGGTATTTAACTTGGTTTTAAACGTTTTCTGGGGACGGGCAAACGTAATTGTATCCTGAAAAATAATTTAAAATACAGAAACATGAATGAAACGGCTTCTACAGCTTCAGTTTTAAGAAAAGTTCTATATTCTGTGCCTATTCTGGAAATCTTTTCAATGTAGCATATTTTGTTCCGGCAAGTTCAAGAGGAAATGATAGCAATTGGGTTACATAATGCAACAAAGAGTTTCGGCTTCTATTGTTGCACTTTTTGAAAAATTATTTTTTATCGCTTTATCATCAAGTTAAGGCAGCGAAGATTGACATCACAAGATCGGTATTACATTTGATCACAATTCAATTTTGCAAATTTGTTGCGGTGCTTCGTGATCAAAATTCCTGCCTAATGTTTTTTGTAAAATTTGTATATGATAATCTTGACAGGACATGTTAAAACCAGGTTGATGCAAGACAGCCGAATCAGTCACACTGCCAAATTTCTGTATTTGCCCACGAGATAATTGTTTGTTTTAGAAAATACAAGCATTGTTGAGCTATTTGGCAATGACATTATGCATTGCCTGATATTCACTTTGAACTTTTCGACCAGCTCCATGTTTTCAGATTCCAGTGGCGGATGACAATCTTCGTTTGCTTTTTGTATTGTCATAGATTTCATGTCACGCAACCTGTTTGCCTTGTCACGGATGTATCCAATGTAAACTCAACATCATATGATGCATGATTGTCGGCTGCGTTCGCTCTATATTATCCAGCGCTTCCTCAGGGCGAGGGCTGAATTTCCATTTTCTGTACCAGGGTTTTCTTTAGATTTTCTTAAATCTGCTTGTTCGAATTTAAATTTTTCTCAATTTTCATGTATTCTACGGACCCCAAAGACTGGAATCTACCGTAAGTCCCGAATAAACCACCACCTTTGTAAAAGCCCCTTGCCCTAATCGAAAAGGCCCCCAACCAAAGTCATTTTTTGAAATAGGCCCATTTGTACATTCCCCAATGAGGATTGAGTCGAATTCAGCAATAGAGTTCAGCAATTGGTATTTAATTGGTATAGATATATATCGATGTTGTCACTCAATTCAACTTCATTTCGAAAAATATGACTGTTCTTGCTATTTTCAAGTCCTGTCCAACCTCAAATAAGCAAATAAAGTAGACTTGGTAGTATTTTGTGCTGCTGCTACTAAATAGGCCTACTTTCAAATAATGTCAAACCTTGAAATTTTGTTTTGCGAAATAAACTCCAGGAAGCATACTCGAGGATTTACTGTACTTGCTTTCTAACCACAACTTTCCAGCACTGTCCTTGTTTATATGGTTTAAATGCAATATTTAGTGGTTTTTGGAAAATAATTTGGAAGCAAATAATTTATATTTTCACATTGATGAATCATTTGTCATCGATAATCATAATGGTTATGGTCATAATAATAATCATAATCGTCATCTTTGTAGCCATTATGTATTTTGTATCGCCATCATTGTTTCCATAATCTCTCATACAAAATAAACTGTTTAGTCCTTATCAACTCTACCAGTTTCTCAGGTATCTGCATGGTTCCAAAAGGCAATTATTCTTGTCATATGACATGCCAGCTGTTGGATTTCAACAAAACTGTCTGACATTTACGTTATTACTAAAAGTGATTAGCTAGAAAAAACGTCAATGGCTATTGAAACCGTCGTTCGTCAGACCTATCATGCTTTGACATCAATTTGATACTAAAGACAAGAAAATGTTCAATGATTTTGTAAACAATATTAGGTTTGTAAACACTGTCAAATGTTGATTAAAAAACCCATCTCTTTCGCTGTTATTTATGAGAAGTATACAATGACACCTTCTGATAACAGTGGAAGATTGTAGTTATAATTGCTATTGTTTGTTACTTATGACGTCATTAAATGAATCAAAAGAATTTTTTAATTTTGACCACATAAACTAGAAAAACACAAGAGAATACTTCTAAATATGCAAAGTCAGTTAAATCGAGTGAGATACGGCCAATTAAATATACGAAGCTGGATAACAGACTACTGTTGTTTCGGCTCTGTTCATAAAATTACCATAATTACAAGTTAACATAATTACAAATTAACAATAAATCTCAGAAAACAGCAAACAGCTAATACAAAGATAAACAGATGACAAAATGATTAAGAGCTCGAAGGTTTATGTTACGAGGATATGCACGTAGAGAACATCCCAAAAGATTCCCGTGATTCAAAAGCCAGCGATATAAAATTAGCTATTGATATCAGACAATCCGTATCTTCTTGACTCAACAACCAGAAAAACTGATCACAAAGATCAAGAGACGAGATTCTGGGAAATTCTGAAAAAATCGTGTAGATAACATAGAATTCCCAGCAGTCTCCTAAAGGGGACAAACTTATAAAAAATGAATTCCGTCCTCCACAACAGTTTTAGTAGAAGATTGACAATAGGGACATATTCTATCAATCTTAGGTATAGGATTCTACCCGTATCTACATGTTTCAATCCTGAGGTTGTGAGCACTGAGACGTAGTTTTGCAAAGTTGGATCTTTTCTTTTGCTAGGTATCAAGTCTAAGTAATGCTCAAACTTATAAACAGTTTTGAAAGATGCGTATGTACAAAGCTTTTTCTTGAGACTAATTTGTACTTTTAAATTTTATTCTAAAACTGGATTTGTGATACGTCGTCACTTAAAAACTCTATGAACGTTTCTGATTGTTAGTCTATTCATTTTAAAAAACAAAGGCATGAGGTCAATGCGTAGAACATTTCTTACAGAAAAAAGGTAGTCGGTTTATTTTGGATTAAGAATAATGACATCTTCTATGAAAACCTGTACTATTGTCTCCATTTAATTGCAATAGTCAAGCAATTGTCTCTCAAGATTCATAATATCCAACCTTATTGTCTGAAAGATTATGAAACAGACTACCTGTTAGGTTAGCTAACGTCAATCTTGTTATTTAATTACTTCAACTTGAATTGATTATTAACGACTTAGCTACACAGCCAGTCATACCAATCAGCTAAACCAAATCGCAAATTAGAACGACGGGAAAGTAATGGCATATTACCTTCTAACTAACCAAGTGTTTAATAGCTACTGGTGTTTGTTCAGAGTTCAAAAAGCCAACCTCTAGATGAACAAAATTGCAGCGAAGATAAGATTAAGAGTCTCGTTTGTTTGAAGATAACATCTCCAATTCAGTTTTTACAAATCCTGAAGACACGTCGAGATTTGGCAGTTTAATTTCATTTCCATGTTAAATTTTCATTATCTTAGTCTATCAAATATTCATCGTTCCTGACCAAATTGTCTTCTCAGATTATTTGCATGTGCTTATCATTCAGTGCTTGCATGGCAATCCATTTTCTGGTGATCAGAGTTGCAGAAGAATTTCTTTGAAAGTCAATCAAATTTTTCTTAACATTAAATATTGAGATTGATATACGGAAATCAGTATAAGCATCTTAGAAACTCTAGTAAAAATATTTCAAACCACACTTATTAATAACTGCAAGCTTCAAGATATCTTTAAAGAGGGCAGATACATAAGCAGTAAGCAATAAACGCCAACTAACGCTTTAAAACAACTTATTGTTTACTGCCTCAACTTGAATTACGTTTTGTACAATGTGTTTTACGTAACACCGACTGCAATTTAGGCCTTCTGCACTATTCAGGTTCTTTTCAAAGTATTCAGTGTCTCTTTTAATACTAAAGAACAAATTTGCCCTAATTTTGGGCCATGGAATCTGAGAGTCTATGATACCATGCCCAGTTGCCCTTGCACTAAGTTGATTAATTTGCCTAAAAATCATACTGCACATTTCTGACGACGAATTACTCTTTCAAAAGCTTTGGATTTAGATAATTTGAAATTTTGTGTATGATGTATCAATCTTGTCAGGTCTCTTTCGGATGTAGCCGTTATGGTCGCAATCAGTGGCAGAAGTTAACTGGCATTTGTTGATGATTAGAGGCTTCTCTTTTTAAAAAAGGCTTCCTGCCCAATTTCTCTTCCTAGTCACCTCATGTTAAAGCCGAGAGTAAACATCATTTGTTGGCTTTTTGAATTTTTTTCCATCTCAACTCATCTCGACCTCATTTAGAACTTGTTTCTGCTTTGATGGTCAGAAAGAATCTTACTCTACTCCTCACTCACTTATTCACACACTCATTCACTCTCTCACTTACTCACTCACTCGCTCACGCACTCAGGCACTCACTCACTCATTCACTCACTCAGTCACTCTCACTCACTCACTCACTCACTCGCTCGCTCACGCACCCACGCAGTCACTCACTTTTTCACTCACTCACTCACTCACTCACTCACTCACTCACTCACTCACTCACTCACTCACTCACTCACTCACTCACTCACTCACTCGCTCACTCACTCACACACTCATTCACTCTCTCACTTACTCACTCACTCGCTCACGCACTCAGGCACTCACTCACTCATTCACTCACTCAGTCACTCTCACTCACTCATTCACTCACTCACTCGCTCGCTTACGCACCCACGCAGTCACTCACTTTTTCACTCACTCACTCACTCACTCACTCACTCACTCACTCACTCACTCACTCACTCGCTTGCTCACTCACTCATTCACTCCCACACTCATTCACTCCCACACTCATTCAGTCGTTCACTCACCCATTCCCTAGCTTACTCGCTCACACACTCACTCACTCACTCACTCACTCATTCATTCATTTATTCACTCACTCACTTACTCACTCACTCACTCACTCACTCACTCACTCACTCACTCACTCACTCACTCACTCACTCCCAGGCTCGCTCACTCATAATACAATTTCATGAAAATCGGTCACTGTACCCAGTCACTCTTTGTTTCAAAAGAGATGGTTACATTTAGCATGGCCCACGACACTGTAATTGGGTAGGTTGCCGTTCGCAGATTCGACTACATCTTCTGTAGTTTGTCCACAAACTTGTTCTTTTTGTTTGAACGTTTAAAAGGGTTCCTCGTCATTCACTGGGTTATAGTTAATGTTGTATAAACCTGATATTTCTGTTTCTTTTACTGCAACTTATTCCTCTATAGTCTATGCGATGAGGTGTGGTAATTTGGCTTTACCAACCCTTTACTACATGCTTAACATACTCTCCTTTTATTTGCAGGTCCATCAAATCTTACATATCCCTCACAACAACATCCGCTTGTCCTGTATACGGAGACGAATTTTGCTGGAACTGCCACGCACGTGAAGCCTGACGAATTCAAGGTATTTGCCGCCAATCGCAGGTATGCTCGTGAGATTTACTTCAAATCGCTCCGTGTATTATTTAACCGCACGGTTATTTTTGCGCGAAATGTTGTTTTTCCGACGAACTTTTATAACGGCAACGATATCGAGGACATCGAAGAATTCATGAACGCAAACACCGAGACTGCCAATAGACTCTGGTTCAACTATGAAGCAAGCATTGAAGCGGATTTTGCCGTAAAAATAGACGGAAATCCACGTTGTGATAACTGCAGTTCCGTTGGCGGAGTTTGCTACACTGGCTTTTGTAATTGTATGTCTGGCTACACAGGGGCGAACTGTGAAACTTCAGTGTAATCCTTTTTCGAACCTATTTCTTATGCACGGTCATTTGGATACAACGCAGCAGTCTTGTGAAGCGACGCGCGGACAGAGCTCCGCGCATTCCATTGGTGTAAATATTCCTGAAAGCGCATTGCTTCTTCAACATTCATTTCCCTGTCAATGTAATGGAGGCGTTCAGTTTTTGTACAATGTATGTTACTTTTGCAAACACGTTTTTAGCAAGTTCAATACTCTTCAGTAGTGATATAAAAATGGCAGTTCGCATAGTGATTGGATAGACTTAACGTTTTCATTGGGTATCGGATACTGGAAAAGCTTCACGGAGATGGTCACTGCCTGTCGATGGTTTGGTTGCACTAACCCACGGTTACTTGTGATAGCTAATGAGTTAAGGCTGTTAATTTATTTTTACATTTAACATTGTGAGGACAGTGAATGAAACCAAGTTATTTTGTAGTATATCTATCGATCAAAACGCGTGTGTCAGCCAAATTTCTGCAGGACCTCCTTATGACTTTGTCACTGACCCGAGGGTTTGCAAAATTACTTTCACCTTAGATCCTTTACCTCTGCGCTGGCGCAAAAATGCTTTTACACTGAACTACTGTCATTCCTTAGATTTCAAAAATAAATTTAGGCCAACGGTTCAGCCTAGTAACTTTTACTGCTTGGAGAAAATGTGTGACAGCATTTTGTTACACTAATTATGATGATTATATTGACTACTAACATTCTGAGTGTTTATTTATATGATTTTCTAAGATATTCGTTGATGTGAATAAGTTAACGTGGTTTTGATATATAATCTGATTTGTGAGATAACCTTGATCGTTAAATGAACGTTGCTCTTTGCTATATATTGTGCCTACAAGCCTTCCAGTTTCATTAACTGTAAACTCAATCTCTTTGTTTCGCTGATTGATGAGCCCTTGTTTCATTTTTAGCAATAAGAATCTCTATCGGTAATTTAGATCGCTGCCACTCAATTTTTTCATAAAGAACAGATCTCGAACTGCCGACAGTATTGACCAGCGGTTTACACATTATAGAAATAAGTTTATTGTGTGAACAACTCTTTACCCGTTATTTTGTAACATTAAAAATTGCTGCTTTGAAAGCATTAATGCCTGGGTCACGAGAATTTTAGGTTTGAAGTTAGGTTTGTGAATAAGAATAGATGAACCACCCAAAGGTAAATTTGTTACCTCTGCGGTCGAGCGATCACACAGCAATCGACTGTAGGAAAGGCCAATAAAAAACTATTACCACACCTCAACCCGACATTTTTTCATAGATTTCCTGAGGAATGTTTCCTTAGCTTGAGGGTATTGTCCGAAGGAAAGATAGTCACTTTCTGGGCGCTGAATGCCACTCAATTGTAGATTTCTCGACCTCGACAAATTAACAGTCATTCATATAATATGAAAACCAATTTATCATGAACAAGCATCTCATTCATGTTTGAAATACATGTGTGTGCCATGCCTGTTGTGGCCCTTTTTTGAGTTGATCAGGTTGCTCCCTTTGATACTGTCACTCAGAAAAGTGAGTAAACAGCTGGGAAACTTATAGCATAATAAATCAAGAGGCTGAGCAACTAAAGGGATGAATATTGTATCCGTTTGTATGCCACTTCGGCTCATCAATGAGACTAGATTTATTGCATTGGAAGTTACCGCTTCATCATTGTCTGCAAATGACCTGACTCTTGTTAAACTATGTAAAACACACGGGTCATATGTAACTTAATATCTTTTGTTGAATAGCACCATTGTTAAAGCATGAAACGGTAAGATTAAGAACATAAAAACGGATAGATCGATGAAGGAGCCCTGAGCAAACATATCCGCCCAAATTTCAATCTCTCCAATGGCATATCATCAAAGTCAACTTGAAATATTAATGCTGCAACCAAAAATAAACTCATTCGATTGTTCCAAAGGACAACTTTGCCCTCGATCATCTATTGTTGGTAGAAAATATTTACTTTGAGCTTCTAGAAATAAGCTGTGTATCGATCAAATACCTCGAAATGCAATCACTCTGAGATAGTGGGTAGGACACTGCGTAAGACTCTGTTACGGTTCCAGAGATGTTTTTTAGGGATGAAGAGATGCTTTTTAGGGATGAAAAAGGCATACTTTAATGGTAGAGATATGCGATTGGATATGCAGCTGGGATGTATACCAATTCAAGGAATACCTTGGTGAACATTGTGCCGACTTATAATTTTCCAGCAGTGTTGCTCCAGGTTCAAAATCAAATTGTTTTTGTAGAATAGGATTCACATCATCTTCAAAATCTTAATGATCAAAATCGAATCTTAACATCGGACAATTAATCGTAACAATAAAGACGTTTTGATAGAGAATCTCAATTACTAAAAAGTACCACTTTTGATCTGCAGCTTGATCTAAATAGAGATGTCAGGGGTTGCAACGAAAATTCCCAGGGAAGACTCAAGACCCTAAACCTATCAGCCCCACGTAGTTGGTGCTTATGTTAGATAAATTGAATAGATATTTAAAAAAATTATTTAATAAGATTGTCACGACCACCCAATTGGCAAAGTGTAATTTTTTATAAACCTCATGTGAATATTTCTTGCCAAATAGTGAAGATTCGATGGTTTTGAAATTCTCAAACATGCAGTCGAGATTGTATCATTGAAGCAAAGAGCTGAAAACATAAAAATAGAAAACAAAATTTACGATTAATCAGTGATGCCTATATTTGTCAGTATCAACAATACTTTTTCAAATGAAAGGCAAAGATATTATCATTAATATTTTTAATAAAAACTCTCTCTATATAATAAAAACATTTCTCAAACATCATCGATCTGAGCATTTTCATTTAAAGGGAGTGTTTGTTCTTGTGAGCATATTTATTCATTCAATATTCAATGATAAAAATTTTTTTCTGCAAGAAAAAATGTTCCCTATGATTTTCTGTAACCAATGGTCACTCGGAAACGCGGATAATAACGCCTGGCCGACTTGGCTTCGTTTCTCTATCCCTCCCTTCTGTGATATCCTTGAATTGGGACATAACAGATGTGTTTGCTCTTTGAAATTATGATACAATATGATGATACAATAACCGTATATGCGGACATATAGCAGGCATATCATTATTAAAGATTCAAGCTGAATAAGGTCATTTAAACAAGGTCATCATTGAAACAGATACAGTTCACTTTTCCTAAATCAGAGTTCAGGCAAAATCATTATCTTTTTTTGTTTACTTTGGTATTCTTATTTGCTCGAACTTTTTTGATATGATAAGAAATCGGTCTTTTTATGCAGGGTTATTAAGTTAATTACACTTAAAAAAATTTCCTGATTTTGATATCCCACAATGAAGATCAACGACTGTGCTTTTATGAACTGTCAAATTTAGCAGATGACCCAAAAATTGTTGACTCCCGTCTCAAGGTATTTCCTATCGTATGATGTTGAAAATCTTTTTGGGAAGGAACCTTTTTTGTGAAACTCAGTACTATGGCTGTCGGATAGCTTAGAATTTGTCAGTGTTGGCTCTGAAATCTAAGGAACTTTGTATTAGTAAATGTTTACAGTTTGTGTATTAATAAAGTTAATGAAAATATACTGGGAACATATGTGTAACTGGATCGACTAGGGCAAAGGCTCCACCTTGAGCCAGCTAGTAGCACTGTTTTAAGTTTGTCCTGCACTGGTCCTATCACTCAAAGAACTTATTACATTGAGCATTGAGTTCAGAGAGAATTTGATGCTGTTATCTTGACTTGCTTCCATGTACAGAAATATTTCATTCGAGGAAACTCCTGCGCTAAGGTTTTATTGGAAAAGTTTTATTCGTTTATTAGTAGTCAAGGTTGCAATTTCTTGTTTTCTGCACAGTAATTAAATGATTAGTTTTTTTTAAAATTTGTTAATTTTCAGGATCCAGATCTTTTATGAGATCAAATAATTCTTAGTAAAGAACGCATAGTTAACAGGAGTTTTTGGAATCCAGCTGAAAAGTTATTTTGAACTGTCAGATGACGTAATGTTTGCTTATTTAATCGTTGTTGCAAATGAAATCGTGTTGCACATTTTCTGTTTCTACGTCAGAAAAATTCGTCACACCCCAGTGAAATGGCTGACACGTTGCCTCACGGCTGATAGCGTGATTTGAAGAAAATTTGTTTAAACAAGCATACGGTGTAAAACTTTTACTGTCCATTCACATGGTCTCTTAGACCATCAATTATTTAAAAATGGTTTTATTCAAGTGTTTGTCTAGAACAACATCCACCTGCTACTGTGAATTGACGAACGGACTGGATGTCGATTATCACTGAGCGGACTTCCAAGCAATGCAAGGGTTTGTACGACACGTCATAGATGAGGTAATACGCCTTCCTGGCCCATTCAAACCCGTTGACAGATCAGGTCACGCAATTCCGCACCGCGCGGGTTTTGAAAGTGGGGCGTGGAGCTTCATCGGCGTTCATCTACGATCGCTGCTAAAGTGCTGTATACTTAAAATCGTACCCATTTTACTTGTTTCTTGCTTAAATCTGATACACTATAGTAGTATAAGTAAGAGCACGCTTAAAGCAGTATTGGTTGCATATGAACCTTATTGATCTATACATTTGCAATAAAAGCGATCTGCCTCTGCATGTAAACATCCTACAGGTGTCAATGCAGGTCCGTAATTTTCGATTACTGCTGGTGACGGTCCTGCTACACAAATCCGAAAGATCGACATCTTTTGTAATTTTGTAAAATCGTTCTGCAAATTTAACTTCGCATATATATCGCCTTTCTATCAAAATGTGACTGACGTTTCCAAGAAAGGAACAAGAATTGGACAAGAGCTGCTGAGACAAACACCCTTCGTTTGGCCGGCCCATGTAGAATAACGCCCCCACCCCATATGCAATAACGGCGTTAGTTGTGAAATGTTGATATTTAAATGCTCATAGTGGAGATATTAACATTGAACTTGGAGGGGGTAAGTGCGGGGGACAACCCAAATCTCAATGCCGTTTAACCATAATTGCAGACTCTAGCAAAAACAGTTCCTCCTTTCCATTTTTATTCTCTTTAAATATACACTTCAAATGAAGACAAAAAGTCTTCAGTAAATTTGAGCACGGAATATTACTGCCACATGACGGGAAGATCCATGCAAAAGCCAGGAAATGTTGCATCATTTAATTGCATGCGTTTGCTGTTGTTTTTACACTTGTTTTTGACCACTAGTAAAACCATAATCATTAATGTTTCATTTAGAGGGTCATTAAAAGCCCAATTAATTAAGTGATCTGCTGTAGTTTCTATTTGGGGCAAAGTTATGTACAATGCTTGCCAGAAGTCTTGGTACACTAACATCAGCTTTTAAGGGCAATTTAAGCCATTCCCCTTACCTCCTTTGAACAATGTTGGTTTACTGAAAAACGACTTATGGGATTAGGAAGTATGCTTTTTTGCGACTTCTATGTTATTGTTCTATATTATCAACATTTTTTCGGGGGGAAGGGGGCGCGGAAATAGGAGTATTTGGGAAAGGGACTGAAAATTATAGAATCACAACGCAAATTGCTGGGTGTTCCAAGTACGCTTGGCAATGATTGTAGTCGAAATTCGTACTTGGGTCATCTGTCGGTGTTTGCTGTTTGGTCACATTCTATGGAAACACAACGTTCTCTTTCCATACCGATATTCGTTCGAAAACTAATGAGTATTAAAAATGTAATACAAAGAAATGAACAGGAACTGAAAGGATAGATAACAAGTTATGTCACAAGTTTAAATTTATTACTGCTTCGCGTATGTTTAAAAACTTTGAGACAACATTAGCAACAACGTTTTTTTTCAATT